CCCCCCCTCTCCTTCCCCATCTCCTCTCCTCCTCTCTTCTACTTTGCCTTCTGTTCTCTCTCTTCCCCTCCCCCTCTCCTCCCCTCTCCTCTCCTCTGTCTTTGGCTTGGCCAATTAACACCTACGGTACTCCTCTCTAGAAAAACTAACATGCCTGCTTTCTCCCTTCTCCAGCTCCCCAAATGGGAAACGTCCTTCAACTCCCACATAGCACTTTTCACAGTGGAGGTAACAGGAGCAACCCTGAGGTACCTAAATCGGAAAAGAGTATATATCGACAACCAGGAGAGCCTCCTCTTTGTTCAGACCGACAAACCCATCTACAAGCCAGGACAAAAAAGTAAGAGCATGGCTCCTGGAAAGGGAATAGCTCTCTGGAAAGGGAATAGCTCTCTGCCAATTGTATATGATCTCAGTTCAAGATTTTGTGCTTCTTGGGTATCTAACAAGGGTCCCACTTTTAGATGGGATGGGGGGGTACGTAAACCCATAAGCCCCATAGAGTCCCTGGTCCCATGTTCCTGGCCTTGATGTCCCTTTTGTGGTGCATGTTTATGGCCAAATTAATGAGATAAAAAAGTTTATTTGCATTTTAAATGACTTAGCCTATCATAACTGAGTCACAACTGAAACAGCCAATGAACCTAAGCAAATAAATAACTGGATGGATGGATGGATTGAAAGCTGCTAAAGTTGAAAAATTCTGCCTTTGATCCACAGTTGATTTTTTTGGGGGGATTGTGGACGTTTAATCACTAAAATAATGTTAAGCAGGATTCATGGTTTAAAAAACACACAATTCATGTGGCAGTAATGCAAAACATTTTCCTCGTTATTTTCCCCCTGAATCTGGAAATAAATAATAATAATAACTTTATTGTCATTGTACATGTATACACAGTATACCCATACAACGAAATTCACCCAAAGATTAGGTCCAACACACATAACAATCTCCAAAAACACTCCCACCCACCACAAATTCCCCACCCCTAAACCACCCAAACATCCACACAACAGACCAAGTAATGCTGTCCAACAGCTCACTGATGGTGGCCCTTTAGTTCATTGTTGAGTGCAATTATAGCTCTGGGTTAAAAACTATTTAGAAAACACATGGTCCAAGTTTTAATTGTTCTGTATCTTCTGCCAGAAGGCAACAGTCCAAAAAGATTGTAAGCAGGATGGGAAGAGTCTCTGAGAATGTTATGCAACTTCCTCAAACAGCGAGATTCGAAGATGTCGTCCAGGGCTGGTAGCTGGAGTCCGATGATATTCTGGGCAGTTTTAATGATTCTCTGTAGAGCTTTTTTGTCCGCTACAGAGCTGCTCCCATACCATGCAAGAATGTCGTATGTCAGGACACTCTCAATGGTGCTGCGATAGTAGGACAGAAGTAGATGCTTAGATAATATAATATAATAATTTATTAAAGTTGTATGCTGCCCAACGCTAAATGACTCTGGGCAGCTCACAACTATATCATTTACTTTAGGACTTACACAAGAGCTCTGGAAGTTTTCCATCTCAGAAGACGAGAGTAATTGTGGTGCAGAATTTTGAACAATTCTGGCTGGCAGGTTGCAAAATAGTGGATTTGAGAAAACCTCTGTCTTGTAGAGGAAGAGTGGCATAAAAACATAGCATGATTCAATATAATACTTTTTATGTCTATGGAGATTCTCAATCATCCAAATCATGGTTGTCGCAAAGGTGCTTTTTACAAAAGGCAACTGGCTTTTTTGTTTTTTTTTCCCTTTGAAAACCTTTCTCTTCTCATCTAAGAAACTTCTTCAATGCTGAAGAACTCATATCCCACTTAAAATGGTTTTCTTCTTGCTTTCTCAGTTCTGTTTCGTGTTGTCTCTCTGAATGAGGAATTCCTTCCAGTAACCAGGAAGGTAGGTTCCACCATGCAGCAATTTTTTCAAGAATGTTGTTCAGTTCATAAGAATATTTGGGGATTATGTAAATGGAGGCACTTCCCTTTGTTAATCAGTAATCTCTGTGTTAAAGTTCCTGTTTATCCAGTGGGGCCTCGGAAGCAGAATCCAAGGAAGGGTATCTCCAATGAAACTAGGTCTTTGAATCATTTGGGGCAACTTGTGGTAGCCTGTTTCCCCGAAAATAAGATCCAATTGGAAAATAAGCCATAGCATGGTTTTTCAGGATGCTTGTAATAAAAGCCGTACCTCAAAAATAAGCCCCAGTTAAAATCATCAGCAGAAAGAGGCGTTTAGTACTGTATTTCCCCCAAAATAAGACCTAACCGGAAAATAAGCCATAATGTATCTTGGAGCAAAAATTAATATATGACCCAGTCTTATTTTGGGGGAAACACGGTAGATATGGTCTAACTCAGCCTCCTCTACTTTGATTCCTTCCAGATGAGCTGGGACTACATTTCCCACGACTTTCAAACTCTATTCTATTCTAGGATTATAATCTTGGAATTTTGAAAAGTAGCAGATTTGAGGGCACTTCCGTTTAGATTAGGGGTAAGGAACTATGGCCCTGGGACCTGTGGACTTCAGAAATCCTGAGCAAGAGCATGAGGAATGATGGCCCCTTTATGACTTGTGGACTTCAACTCCCAGAATTGCGACTGGGTGATTGAAGCCTCGCTCCTTTTCACGTGTGACAATGAGGCACGTAAAAAGGGCAGTACGTCCACTGCACTCTCCAACCATCATTGGCTTCCAAAGCTGACATGCGCAATCATAGCTACACAACTTTGACTTTTCTGATCCCCGCCCAACCTGTGAATGCAGGCAGAGCAACCTGTTTGAAGACGAAAGCCCCTTTCTTGCAGGTTCCAAAGGAGACCTCCTATCATGGATGGTCCTCGTGGAGCATGTGTAGATAACCAATATTTCTTCAGATATTTCCAAATGTACGGGGGATGAGATTGTGTCCCTGGATGCACCCATCTGTGGTTGGGGAGAGAAAGGATCCACACATTGTCCTTTATGGACCTCGGATGTCTGTCCCCAAGACCTGCTTCGTAGCCATGGACACATCCTCCTTGGTGGTGTGAGAACATGTCACAGAGAAATAAAGGAAGGGACCAAGATTTGTCTTCAAGCAAGCTCTAACTCAGTGTTTCCATACCTTGTGACTTCAACTCCAGAATGCTTAGCCATGGCCATGCTGGCTGGGGAATTCTGGGAGTTGAAGTTCACTCTGCTTGAACCTCACTGATATGCAAATCAGCGTCGTGATTCCCTAAAGTGTGGCCAGGTTGAAAAATTCCGCTCCAATTCATTCCTGTTTCTGATTTTGTTTTAAATGTGTTTGCTTCCACAGGTCTCCTTGATCTACATCGAGGTAAGTAACAAAGTCTTCTTCCCACGTAATTTGTTAACAGATTAATCAATAACAGGACCTTCCAGCCAGGTCACTTTTCCAATGACCTGAACTCCCTTATCACTCCGGTGGGGTCATCAAGGTCATGATGACACCCATGTCTGTACAAATGAAGCCCCGCCCCCTTTTCCTATGCTTTATTTGCACAAATGAATAAACTCTCACTGTTTGTAAGAGGAGAAATAAAATGAGAATAACCCTCTTTATACACCCCCATACAGCTCTAGTAGTATATATAGCAATAATAATAGCCCTTAGATTTATATACTGCTGCATAGTACTTTAACAACCCTCTCTAAGCAGTTTATAGAGTCAGCATATTGTCCCCAACAATCTGGGTCCTCATTTTACCAATCTCGGAAGGATGGAAGGCTGAGTCAATCTTGAGCTGGTCAGGATTGAACTGCTGGCAGTCAGCAGAATTAGCCTGCAATACTGCATTCTAACCACTATGCCACCACGACTCTTATATATAAGCAGCAATTAGATTCCTGTCCAGGAGTTTCCCAAACTTGGCAACTTTAATACGCATGGACTCTAACTCCCAGAATTCCCCAATGTGGAGGAATTCTGGGGGTTGAAGACTACACATCTTAAAGTTGCTACGGTTGGGAAACTTCTTATTTAGTCTTCAGATCAATGTCTCTGATTGCCTTGCACCCTAAGGGGAAGAAAAAAAAGGCAAGCAATTTGGTGCAGGATTAAAACGAAAGCATGCAGAATTCTTCAAAGCACCTGAAGGCAGGACAAGAAGTGAGAGAGGAAAGCTTATCAAAGAGAGATCTAACCTCCTGACACGATAGCAGTCTTCCAATATTGGAGAGGCCACAAAGAAGAGAGGGTCAATCTATCCTCCAAAGCACCTGAAGGCAGAGCAAGTAGCAATGGATGGAAACTAATCAAGGAGAGAAACAACCTAGAAATTTCTTGATAGTTAAACAATTAACCAGTGGAACAGCTTGCCACCAGAAGTTGTGGCTGCTTCAACACTGGAGGCTTTTAAAAAGACATTGGACAACCATTTGTCTGAAATGGTACAGGGTTTCCTGCCTGAGTGGGTATTTTACTAGAAGACCGCCAAGGTCTCTTCTCTTCTCTTCTCTTCTTCTCTTCTCTTCTTTCTCTTCTTCTCTTCTCTTCTCTCTTTCTTCTCTTCTCTTCTCTTCTCTTCTCTTCCCTTCCCTTCCCTTCCCTTCCCTTCCCTTCCCTTCCCTTCTCTTTTCTTTCTTCTCTTTTCTTCTCTTCCTCTTCCTGGAAGAGGAAGGCCACCAAGACCCCTTCCGACTCTGGTATTCTATATTCTGTATTCTGCTGGCTTAAATTACTTGGGAAATCCTCCTAAGAATCCCATCAGCTCCCTCTGTTAATCATAACTGATGGGAAGGGACTCTTGTTTTCATATTCCATCTGAGTTTCTAAACTATATTGAGGTATTTTATAAGAATTCTATAGGAAAATGAGGGAGCACAAGTGGCTGAATCCCCCTAAAATCAACCAGGTCTATTAGCTGCTCTTATGAGACTTTTCATTTTTGAAAGAGATGTCACTCATTAACTTGGGGGAACTATGCTCAAAGGCCAGGATATGGGCAACTATGGCCTCTTCATGACCTGTGGACTTCAATTCCCAGAATTCCTGAGTAAGCCATGCTCAGTCCACAGGGCCCTAGTTTCCCATCCCTGCTCAAAGTTCATCTTTGTTTTATTGCAATCTTCAAGCCACCAAGGCCTTGAACCTCTTGCAACAGGCTCCCCAAATTGGATATTGTCCAGGGGCACTACATTTCCATTTTCCTGGACTCTTCCTTCTGTTCAGGAAGAAGGAAATCTGGAGAAGATTCGCTTATGCCAGAGATGGGGAACGATGGCCCCTTTATGACTTCTGGACTTCAACTCCCAGAATTCCTGAGCTCAGGAATTCTGGGAGTCGAAGTCCACAAGTCGCAAAAGGGCCGTCGTTCCTCACCCCTGGCTTACGCATTCTGAGGAACCAAAAGGCTCTAGGATTCTGAAGGAGACAATCTCTTTTTCTTTTGTTCAGTCAGGTCCGATTCTTGGACTGTACAAATCTGGCAGTTTTCTTGGCAAGGCTGCCATTGCCTCCCTCCTTGGCTGACTAGAACTCAGTCTCCCCATTTCTAGTCTTATATTTTAAACACTACTTCACTGGTTCACATTATCTCCTAGAAGTAGTCTTCAACTTAGAACAATTCATTCGGCAACCATTCACAAAGTGACTTATGACTTTTTTACACATATGACCGTTTGAGGGAGATGGGCAGTTCCTAAATGTGAAATATAAATAAATAAAGCATCCACATGTACTCATGGATAAGTCAACCTTCAAATTTTATCAAATACAGGTAGACCTCGACTTAGAACAGTTCATTTAGTGACTGTTCAAAGTTACGACATTGGAAACCGTGACTTATGATCGTTTTTCGCACTTATGACAATTGCGGCATCCCTATGGTCACATGATCAAAATTCAGACGCTTAGCAACTCTCATATTTATGACGGTTGCGGTGTCCCGGGGTCATGTGATCCTTCTTTTCATTAAATTAGACATCCCCAATTCCACCAACCGTTCTTTATATGTTTTAGCCTCCAGTCCCCTAATCTTCTTTGTTGCTCTTCTCTGCACTCTTTCTAGAGTCTCAATGTCTTTTTTACATCATGGGATGTAATAGGTTTGTCAGACATACAATTCAGAGACTATTCAAATTGTAATTTGAATTTTGAAAATGGCCAAGGCTGTAGAAAGAAGATGAAAAATATTTAAGATTGTAGAAACTCAGCCAAGCCAGATTAATTGTATGTCATAGCAAAATGTGGGCATTGGCTCACAGAAATGAGATTTTAGGCTAGTTACAAAATCGTTTAGTCAGTTTTTCATTGACTAGATTATTTGAAATGATCTCTGCAATATTTGATTTGCTGCTGTCTGCTGCACCAGGCATGCCCTATTTTAACTGGCTGCAGGTACCTCAGATAACTTATCTATGGACTATCTTGAGCAAAGAGATTTTTGATGCCAAGAACAAACAGAAAAGCAAAATGACATTAAATATTAACCGTAGAGGCAACACTGAACAGAGTCACTCGGCAGTAAATTCTCTTTCACGAAGTCCTGAATATTGATGGCCTATAGGCCAAATTTAACATTTGGGGCATAGACAAGATTTAGAAGTGATGATGCAAAATAGGTCAAGGGTTTTTTTTTTTCCCTTCTTTTTTTTTTTAAAGGGAAAAAAGTTTTCCTTTTCTTTTATTGGAGCATGGATCTTTAATATCCACTTATGGAATTTCTATACTGATCTCGCAACTGTTAGAAGTAGCCAAATCACTAGAATTTGGAAATTTGGATGCTTGCTTATTCACAAAGGCAGAGGTGGGCAACTATGGCCCCTTTAAGACCTGTGGACTTCAACTCCCAGAATTCCTGAGCCAGCCTTTCCTGAGCCATAGTTGGCTCAGGAATTCTGGGACTTGAAGTCCACCGGTCTTAAAGGGGCCATATAGTTGCCCATCACTGCAAAGGGGACAAAGTTGAGTTTGCTTTAATCATCACCTTTAACTGATTTTTTTTTTTTTTTTGGTAGATGGGTTACAAAACTTTTTGTATTATTTCAAAGGAATGTTAATTCTGTTAATTCTGGTGGCTATTAGAAGCCGATTATAAAGATGAATGAAAAGGTTGTTCTGATTCATTCATTCTTTGAGAAAGAGATGCATAACCTTTCATCCCTAGTGTTAGGGGGCTGTCTCATTTGTAGTTTAGTTTAGTTTAGTTTAGTTTAGTTTAGTTTAGTTTAGTTTAGTTTAGTTTAGTTTAGTTTAGTTTAGTTTAGTTGTATACCGCCCTACTCCCAAAGGACTCAGGGCGGTGAACAGCCACAGGATAAAAACACAGATATACAAAATTTAAAACTGGATAAAAACCGAATTAAACAATTTGGCCGACGACAGATTTAAAAATCCCCAATAAATTAAGAACGAATTAAAATTTGCATTTTAAAAAGGGAAAAAAGGGGGAAAAAAACAAAGCACAATCAGCAAACTAAACTGAGAATAAGCCAATAATTAAAGCCCTTGTGAGAAAATCTTTTAAATGCTTTTCAGAATCGAACTAGCATTACATGTGATATCTTTTTCACCCTCTCCAGAGGTGGGTTTCAGCAGGTTCGGACGAGTACTGGAGAGCCAGTAGCAGACATTTTGAGTAGTTCTGAGAACCGGTAGTAAAAATTCTGATGGCCCCGCCCCCATCTATTCTCTGCCTCCCAAGTCCCAGTTGATCGGAAGGAAATAGGGATTTTGCAGTAACCTTTCCCTGGAGTGGAGATGGAATGGAGATTTTACACTATTCCTTCCCTTGCCAGGCCCACCAAACCACGCCCACCAAGCCTATGCCACCCACAGAACCAGTAGTAAAAAATTTTGAAACCCACCACTGAACCTCTCCCAACCGTAAAATGTGTGCCAAAAGTCCGAGTGTGTGAGCGCTCGCGTGCCAGCGCCCATAATGCAATGGGCGCCACCATTTGCGCATGATCCTAATACGCATGCGCCTCACACTGCGCATGTGTACATGCAACCGGCACTGCGCATGTGCGTGCCCTCCGTGCATGCACCCCCACTTTTTCCAAGAGGGCCGGCGCGCCTCTTACCGGAGGATAACCAGTTACCGGCCCGTTCCCTGGCGAGACAGCTGTTCCCAAGCTGAAAACGCAGGTATATGTGTTTTCCAATGGTCTTAGGAGACCCCTGTGAAAGGGTCATTTGACCCCCAAAGGGGTCGCGACCCACAGGTTAAGAACCACTGCTGTAGACATTCTCAGTCATCCAGGTCATGGTTGTCCCAACGGTGCTTTTCAGGAGGCAACTGGACTTTCTTTTTTTTTCTTTTAAAAACCTTTTGCTTCTCATCTAAGAAGCTTCTTCAGCTCTGACAGGATAGTGGGGAGCTTCTTTTATTTATTTATTTATTTTATTTTATTTTATTTCTATACCGCCCTACTCCCGAAGGACTCAGGGCGGTGCACAGCCAAACAATAAAACACATACATACAAAATTTAAAAGTAGAATAAAATCAAATTAAATAATTTTCTTGGATGAGAAACGAAACATCTTCAAAGAGAAAAAACAAGAAAGTCCAGTTTCCTCCTGAAAGAGCCCCTTTGAGACAACCATGGCCTGGATGACTGAGAATCTCTGCAGACTTTTAGCTATACAATTTGGGATGAACATCCTTTGAATGGTGTGGGAGTAGGAATGGATTTCTAGAGGAAAAATTGCAGACTACACGAACCAGGAGCGCTACTCAGGTGACCCTGAGGACACAGTGTTGTGACCCAGGCCCACGCAGTTGATATTCAATGCAAAACAGTTCCAAAAAACAAACAGATTTTATTAAAACAGCTGAGAATTAACTCATTCTCAGCGTATTCAAAATTAAATGAAAGCAAAGTCCTCAAAACACCAGTCTTCAGTTTATCTCTGACCTTGGGATAATTAGGCAAACTGCCAAAGGCTTTTCTTGGCAACAGTTCAGGAACAGAAGAAATAACCACAGCCAAACAAGAAGCAATTCTCTCAACGGTTGTTTTCCGGCAAAGAGGCCAAGAGCCGTTGCTGGTCTTTTAAACCTTATGGGAGGGGCCAATCGTTTCTTGGCCTTACTCCTGTGTCGTCCTCTCTGCTTTAGCTGCTCCTGCCTTCTGGCAGCTCTTCTTATATGTGCACTAGGAACAGGATCCTCCTGTTCCTCTGCCTCTCTGCTGTCAGCCTCTGGAGGCTCCGAAGTCCACACATCACTCCCTGACGCCCCTGGCCCCATCTCTGCCTCCGACGCAGAGCTCTCATCCGGGCCTTCCCCAGCCTCCAGGACTGGCCCATGTTCTTCCTCAACCTCATTGCTGTCTGACTCCGCTGCCAGCTCCGCAGGCTGCTGGCGGACCACAATACACAGATAAACCTCTAAGTGCTTCAATGACCCTATAAAACAGGGGTGTCAAACTCACGTCGTCACAGCAGCGTCATGTGACGTATCGGGACTTTTTTCCCCTTCACTAAACTGGGCGTGGGTGTGGCTAGGACGTGACACACCCGGCCCACGGGCCGCAAGTTTGACAGCCCTGCTCTAAAAGGATGCAAATGGCCAGCTGTCTGCAAGGAATATAAATCCTTCCATTCCTCATCCAAGAAGCTTCTTGGATGAGAAGCAAAACGTCTTCAAAAACAAAACAAAACCACAAGAAAGTCTAGTTGCCTCCTGAAAAAGCACCTTTGGGACTATCATGTTCTACCATCCTGCCATCCTTAGCTATCCATGACTGTAAGGTGCACTAATTGGGGATGATGAGTCTTGTAGTCCAGAATATTGGAAGGGCATCAGAGAGGGAAAATCTGATTTACCTTATTTGCTCTGGGGTCAGCTGTTCCTGCCATCAGTTTTAAGATACGAGGAGTATTCCACTTTAAGTGAATACATGCACACATACAGTTATATTCAGAAGGAGAACCACAGAAATTGAAGGGATCTTGGAGGTCATCAGATCCAGTCCTTTGCCAGTGCAGTGTTTTTGAGTTTGACCAAGCTTCACTCCAAGGCAACAGGGCCTTCTAGCTTGATTAATAGAATAACAGAATTGGGGCCTTGGAGGTCTTCTAGTCCAACCCCCTGCTCAAGCAGGAAACCTTATACCATTTCAGACAAATGATTGTCCAATCTCTTCTTAAAAACCTCCACCACCTTCTGAAGGTGTTCCACTGATCAATTGTTTTCATTGTTAGGAAATTTTGTCCTTAATTCTAGCTTGGATCTCTATTTGATAGGTCTCCCTCTGTTGCTTCTGATCCTGCTCTCAAGTGCTTAATTGTTCTGTTAGGAAATTTCTCCTTATATCTAGGTTGGTTGTCTCCTTGATTAGTTTCTTCTTGTCCTGCCTTCAGGCGCTTTGGAGATTAGATTGTCTTCCTCTTCTTTGGGGCAGCCCCTCAAATATTGGAACACTGCTATCATGTCTCCCCTAGTCCTTCTTTTCATTAAACTAACTTTGAACAAAACTTTGTTTAACTTTGACACAAATGGGCAAAATATGCTGCAGAAAAAGGAACCCCTAAGAAAGGGTTACAGGTTGTAGATTGTTTGAAATTAACAACAGCGAAATGGCTTCCTTAAGTTTTGTGTCCCTGCTTCCTCCGGACTTCCTCAGGACCCCAAGAGAAACCGGTTGTTCCAGTGGAAAGATGTCGAACTGAACGGGGGTCTGGTCCAGCTTGAATTTCCCCTGTCTTCCGAGCCCGCCTTAGGCACCTACAAAGTGGTGGTTCAGAAGGATTCTGAAAGAACGGTTCAACATTCCTGCACGGTGGAGGAATACGGTAAGATCATGAAGTCAATGTCTCGGCACCCACTTTGTCCACACCCAAATGAGATGGAATGGTTGTATCTTTTACTGCACTGATTTTGGGGGGAAAGACATATTGTAAATGATGGACAAGTTAGGAGTGGGGAACTGAGCTGTTTATTTAGATCAGGGGGTCTCCCAACTTGGCTAGTTAAGACTTTTGGACTTCAACTCCCAGAATTCCCCAGCCAGCAAAACTCATTGTTGAAACTCCTTCCTTCCTTCCTTCCTTCCTTCCTTCCTTCCTTCCTTCCTTCCTTCCTTCCTTCCTTCCTTGCTTCCTTCCTTCCTTCCTTCCTTCCTTCCTTCCTTCCTTCGTAAAAATACCCCATTAAAAAATCCAAAATGGAAACCACAAGCAATAAATTTTAATTTAAGATTCAGAGGTTTATTCATGAGCAATTTGGAACAGCCATCATAGCAATGCAATTCCACAACTTACATTATTAAACCATTGCAAAGGGGTCCAATGACACATAGCAAATCCTACAAGGATTGCTATCGGGCAAAGGACACCATTCTCATCTCCAGCCACGTTTCTTATACCTTTTTTTTAACTGACATACCCATTCCATAGTTTCACTTCCTTGTTCTTTCTTACATTCTTACTGACCATCACTGTCTACAAACACCCGTGTACATCTCAAACCTCTATCCGTTGTCTACTTTCAGTTCCCCATTTCTCACAGTTTCAATGTTCTGATTCCAAATATATCTCAAAACCACGTACTTTGCAGAAAATGCAGCACACAAGTCAGCATATTAGAAATAAGTCTGGTACATTTTGCAATTATGTTAGTTTAAAACTTTGGTTCAGTGGGGCCTGCAAGCCTACTCCTAGGCCTTACTACCTGTAACTTTCCAATGGATATATTTCTCTTCTCACCCTTCCTTCCTTCCTTCCCTCCTTCCTTCCTTCCTGCTTGCCTGCCTTCCTCCCTTCCTCCTTTCCCAAAACTGATTGTTGAAACTATTTCCTTTCTTCTTGACTTCCTTCCTTCCTGCCTGCCTGCCTGCCTTCCTCCCTTCCCAAAACTCATTGTTGAAACTATTTCCTTTCTTCTTGACTTCCTTCCTTCCCTCCTGCCTGCCTGCCTGCCTTCCTCCCTTCCTCCCTTCCCAAACTCATTGTTGAAACTATTTCCTTCCTTCTTTCCTTCCTGCCTTCTTTCCTTCCTTCCTTCCTTCCTGCCTGCCTGCCTGCCTGCCTCCCTTTCCAAAACTCATTGTTGAAACTATTTCCTTTCTTCTTGCCTTCCTTCCTGCCTGCCTGCCTTCCTCCCTTCCCAAAACTCATTGTTGAAACTATTTCCTTCCTGCCTGCCTGCCTTTCTGCCTGCCTACCTACCTACTTTCCCAAAACTCATTGTTGAAACTATTTCCTTCCTTCCTGCCTGCCTTTCTGCCTGCCTACCTTCCCAAAACTCATTGTTGAAACTCCTTCCTTCCTTCCTTCCTTCCTTCCTTCCTTCCTTCCTTCCTTCCTTCCTTCTTTCCTTCCTTCTTTCCTTCCTTCCTTCCTTCCTTCCTTCTTTTCTTTAGCTGCCCATCTCAATCAATGACTCTGGATATTTTACAATCCCAAACTTAAGCTGCATCTTTGCTCGAAATGATGAAGCATAGTACATTCTGGTTTTTTTCTTTTCTTCCTTTTTAAAAATTCTGACTTTATCCCGGTACTTCATTCTTCCTTATAGTGCTGCCCAAGTTTAAAGTTGTTGTGAAGGCCACCCCAACTATAACAGTTCTGGACGACGAAATTAAAGTCACCGTCTGCGGCACGTAAGTGGCAACGATCTGGCTTTCTTTTTTTCTTATTCCAAGCTAGGATTTCTTTATTTTTTCTGACAGACATTCTTCACATTGGCAATTTCCTTACTCCTGGCTCCTTCTGTGCCAGCCGTGCTCATGTGACCATGGATTAGGATGTTTATTTGGTAGAAACCAGCATTTATTTCTGGCTTCCAGCAAAAAATGCCCATTGAAGACAATCGATTCATTTAATGACCATCATAAAAAAAAAGGACATAAAATTCCAGGCTCAGTTATGGTCGTAAATGAAGGACTACGCGTTATAACATTTTATGGGTATAGATGGTTTTAGTTTCTACAAATGCCACTGATGTTTTCATTCTCCTACATATTTTTTTAAAATTTTATTAACGTACCCATGTTTTGAGTGGTACTTTATCATATCTTCTGTTATACAGGCAGTCCTCAGGTTACAACTGAGGTTACAACAGTTTATTTGGTGACTGTTCAAAGTTACCACAGAACTGAAAAAAGGGACTTATGACCGTTTTTCACAGTTATGGCCTTTGTGGCATCCCCGGGGTCACGTGATCAAAATTCAGACACTTGGCAACCAGTTCATATTTATGACGGTTGCAGTGTCCTGGGGTCACGTAATCCCCTTCTGTGACCTCCTGACAAGCAAAGTCAATGGGGAAGCCAAATTCACTTAACAACCCTGTGACTAACTTCACAACTACAGTGATTCACTTAACAACTGAGGCAAGGAAGGTTGTAAAGTGGGGCAAAACTCACTTAACAAATGTCTCACCTAACAACAGACATTTTGGGCTCAATTGTGGTCTTAAATTGAGGACTACCTGTACCTGTACCTCCCACCCTTTTCCTCCTTAGCCAGGGTGCTGCTTGACCAATCATCTCATTTTTTTCTAATATTCTGGCTGTTTCTGATCACAGGTACACCTATGGGAAGCCAGTTCCTGGTTTAGTCAGCATGAGGGTTTGCCGGAGATATTCCTACTTCAGAAGCTCATGTTATGGTGAAGAGTCCAAAGCCATCTGTGAGGAATTCAGTGGAGAGGTGAGTCCCAAAAGTTGAAGCAGAGACCCTGTGACCAGGTCTTGTGAAGATTCCTCAACCGCTGGAGTCCGCATGGAGTCCACACAATTAGGGACAACATTTGTCTAAAGGGAATGCATAGTGCAGTGTTGTTCAACCTCAGCAACGTGAAGTTGTGTGGACTTCAACTCCCAGAATTCCCAGCAACTTCACCAGGTGATTGAAGACAACACATTTTAAACCATGCTGGCTGGGGAATTCTGGGAATTGAAGTCCACACATTTTCAAGTACCAATAGAAGAGAATTATTGTAGCTCAGGGTTGAATTGCTAGTTTAACCCCGTGCCCTTCTAGCACTGATAATATCACCTAGTTTGGTGGTGAAACATCTGCAAAAAAGCAACCAGGCTCACAGAGCACCAAGGACCACAGATCTTTAAGTTGCTGGGGTTAAGAAACACTGGTATGGAGGAATAAAGAGATGACACTGAAGAAGAAATTCAACAGTCATTCTATAAACACCAGCATGTTTGCTTATTTATTTATTTAAAATGTATTGAGTGATATACAGTTTATATGGCTGCCCGTTTCACAATTGTGACTTTAAACTGTGAAAGAGGATTAAAATCAGCATCTAGGCTTGGAAGGGAGGAGACAGTGAGGAAGAAACTCAAGGTTGTCCCACTCTGATTTTCTTCAGTATAAGGAGCAGGGAAGGAAAAACTCAAGAGTCTGCTTTAAAAATACAGTTCCAGAATAACAGAATAATAGTTGGATAATAATAATAATACTTGCGGGACCGCCTACTATCACCAATAGCCTCCCACCGGCCAGTACGCTCTCATAGAGAGGGGCTCCTCCGGGTGCCGTCGACCAAACAATGTCGACTGGCGGCCATAGGGGGAGACCCTTCTCTGTGGGGGCACCTACTATCTGGAACGAGCTCCCCCCGGAGATACGGAGGATCCCGGATCTGTGCACCTTCCGCCGCGTTCTTAAGACCTTTTTATTCCACAGGCGGGCCTGGCCTAACTTTCTCCCTCTTTTTAAATAATTTTTTAATATTTTTTAATATTTTTAATATTCAAAGTTTAATTTGTTTTAAATTGATTGGGTTTTTTTTTAATCTATCTGGGCCAAACTGTTTAATTCGATTTTATTTCTGCTTTTTAAATTTTGTATGTATGTATTTTATTGTTGGCTGTTCACCGCCCTGAGTCCTTCGGGAGTAGGGCGGTATATAAATCAAATAAAAGTAAAAAGTAAAAGTAAAATTGGAATCCAACCCTCTACTCAAGTAGGAAACCCTACGCCATTTCAGACAAATGGCTGTCCAGTCTCTTCTTAAAAGCCTCCAGTGATGGAGCATCCACAACTTCTGAAGGCAAACCATTACACTGGTTAATTGTTCTCACTGTCAGGAAACTTCTCCTTAGTTCTAGGTTGCTTCTCTCCTTTATTAGTTTCCATCTATTGCTTCTTGTCTTGCCTTCAGGTGCTTAAGCAGGGGGTTGGACTAGAAGGTTCCTTCCAGCTCTATTCTCTTCTTATTTTTTTAAAAAAAGTGGACATACCCCTGTTAGCCTGGATGATCAAAATGGCTTCTTTGCTATAGTGAAGTTGATCTCCAAAGTTCACCGTTGTTTTCCAGCAGTCTTTTAGTAGATCATCTGGGCCAAGTTGCAGAGTACAAACGGTCCCTGCAGGAGACAGTCTGAGAAGGTTTACCCTAGGAAAATTCTTGAGGAAAACAGGAAGAATAATGAGAATTAGCCACGGCAACTTGCTACTCTCTGATTTCCCATGCAGGCGGACATTCACGGCTGCTTCTCTCATGACGTGAATCTGAAAATATTCCAGTTGAAGAGAAATGGATTTGAGATGGAGATCCGTACCGAGGGCGTAATCACGGAAGAGGAGACAGGTAAATAATTGGGTGAGAAAGGTGAAGGATAGCTTGGTTGGAGGTAACGCAGCTTGCTTTGTATAGTGAGGCCTGCAGCTTCAATCTTCAGCTTTTCCTCTAAAACAGTGTTTTTTACAAACTTGTAAAGTAACTTTTTTACTAACTTATAATTAGTATAATAATACTAATATAATAATAATAATAGAACTATTATTATTATATTAGTATTATTATACTAATTATAATTATTAATATATTATATTATTATAATATATAATATAATATAATAAGAATTATATTAGTATTATATTAGTATATATTATTATATTATATTAGTATTACTATTATTTTTCTCTTCCTTACTAGTATCTATCTCTTCCCACTTATTACTATAACCATGTTGCTTGTATGTTTCAATTTATATTGTTTTTATTTATGTTGCAATATTTTCAGGATCAGACTCAATAAAGATAATAGAAGTTAGAGCTTTAAATATATTTCTTTTTAATTATGATAGGCATTCTATATTCACTGAATATTCAAGGTAGAAGCAGCGAGAATGGTGAGGGTGGCTCCTTATATATACAAGGGGTGGAGCTAGGAATGGGAGTGGTAAGTTATGAATACATTAAAGTCCAAAGAATAAGTTAACCTCTGATGTTCCATATATACATTATTTACACATTGGAGAATAAGGCATTTACATCTGACAAATCCCCCTCTAAATGCCGGTTCGTTACACAACACCAATTACATTCTGATTCAGGACAATATAATACATATAATTTAGAAGTTAAATATTTGTGTTGTTTAGAAGGTAAGGGTTTTGTTAATATGTCAGCTAATTGTTCAGAAGTATCGCAATGTATTGCTTTAATGAATCCGTCTTGAGACAGTTGTCTCACATGCTTAAACTTTATATCAATATGCCTGGACCTTTGTCCAATTGCATCGGATCTGGATATTTCAATGGCCGCTTTATTGTCTTCATGCATAATAAATGGTAAAGTGGGTTTCTTCCAAACATCAGTGATCAGATCATTGAACCATACAAGGTTATTTGCAGCCTTGGACAAACAAACATATTCCGCTTCTGTAGTAGAAGTGGCTACTAGTTCTTGTTTACCAGTATACCAGTAAACTGGACAATCATTCAATAGAAAAACATAACCAGAAGTACTCTTTCTGCATGATGTATCACCAGCCCAATCTGCATCAGCATAACAAGTAATTTTTGGTTCTCTGTCATTATTGGGTTCCAACATTAAACAAAAATCTAATGTACCCTTCAGATATCTTAGAATTCTTTTGACAGCTTCCCAATGATACAAGGTTGGTTTACTAACATATCTTGACAGTAGATTGAGAGGTAATGCAATATCTGGCCTAGTCCAATTAGATATATAAAGGAGTGAACCTATAACTGATCTGTAAAATGTGTTGTCTTTAAACTCAGGGGAAGATTCATCAGTGTTTCTAAGAAAATCAGTTTGCATAGGGGTGTCACAGGTTTTGGCATTATTTAAGTTACATTTGTTTAGGAGTTCGATGATTTTATCTTTCTGTGTAAGTTTGAATCCCCTTTTAGTTTTGTTAATTTGCACACCAAGGTATTTATTCACTTTACCCAGAGATTTCAGTGAGAAGTGTTCATTTAACTTATTTACAAAGATTTCCCTGCTCTCTTTATGCTTTCCAATGTATAAAATATCGTCCACGTAAATTAATACAAATTCAATATGATCATTACTCTTTTTTACAAAGAAACAGTTATCAGCAGTGGTGGCGTTGAAATCCATGGTCTTAAGTACTTTTACCAAGCAATCGTACCATCTTTTGCCGGATTGCTTTAATCCGTACAGACTCTTATTTAATAACCAAATTTCGTTCTTATTAGTGTATTGACTGTGTGGTGCTCTTACATATATTTCCTTATCTAATTTTGCATGTAAGTATGCGGTCTGTATGTCATATTGGAATACGTCCAGATTGAGTGCAGATGCTACTACAAGGGCTGTTTTGACACTCTCTGTTCTCACTGTGGGTGAATATGTATCAGTATAGTCTTCTGGGTATTTTTGTGCATAGCCTTGTGCAACTAGTCTAGCCTTGTATAAGGTATTGCCTCCTTCTAAGTTCTTAATTTTATAAATCCACCTGGTACCTATAATTGTTTTATCCTTAGGTGCGATCGCAGGTGTGAATACATTTAATCCTTGTAAACTTTCCATCTCTTTTTCCATAGCTAGTTCCCATTTTTCTCTTTCTTCATGTGGAAGTTTCAATACTTCTTCATATGTATTAGGTGTTATTTGTTCTCCATTCATATGCATTATGTAATCTTTGTATTTATTTGGTATTTGGTTTCTATTGTTTCTAATAGTTCTTTCAGGCTTGCTATGGTTATCATGCAAATATCTAGCTTCCTTTTTTGTTAATGTGTCTGTCTTTATTTTATGCTGACTATTAGTCCAAGTTTTGGTTTTGTTCTTATTTTTGTTAATATTTTGATTTTCTGTTGTTCCTTCCTCGCAAGATATCGTATCTTTACATTTATTAGGAAATATTTCATTAAGGTGCAATTTTGACCAATTGGCCTGTTCATGGAACACAGCTGTTCTGGATACTATAAATTTGTTATTACTATCAATAAATCTGTACCCTTTGGTTCCAGTTTCGTATCCCATGAATCTTAATCTCCTGGATACGTTTTCTCCCTTTCTCCTCAATTGTTTAGGTATGTGTACGTCTGCAGTGACTCCAAATATGTGCATGTGTGATAATTTGGGTTTTCTATTGTACATCACCTCATATGGTGTCTTATTCACAATACTGGACCAGGTTCTATTTTGAGTGTAATTTGAATAATGTAATGCCTCTGACCAAAATTGTTTGCCTAAACCAGCATCCTCTAATGTGCACCTAATCATGGTTTGTAGTGTGGAATTTTTCCTCTCTGCAACTCCATTTTGAAACGCAGAAAAAGGATTGGACGTGAAATGTAACATTCCTCTATCCTTTAACCATTGGGAGAATTCTTTAGACATGAACTCACATCCCCTATCTGTCATAATTTGCTTTATTCTGATATTATGTTGTGTTTCTATACGTTTGTAGAATTCCTTAAATTTCTGAAATGTTTCATCCTTGTGCTTTAATGTGTAAACAAAACCATATCGGCTGTAGTCATCCACTATTGTTAGGAAGTAACGTTTTCTATAGGTAATTGAGGGACTTAATGGACCAACTAAGTCCATATGTACCAAATCAAAAATATTGTTAGTTGATCTGTTAGATTTTTTTGGTCTGGGACTGGTTTTTAGTTTGGTGGATTTACATACTGAGCATTCCAAATAATTTTCACAATTTTTTATTTTGACACCTTCTGCGTGTTCAGTCATTTTTTGTACTACAGGAAAGCTTGCATGTCCTAACTTCCTGTGTAAGATGTGAGCACACTCATCATGAATTGGTTTACCTATTTTTGGTTTCTTTTCCTTGTATGTATTTTTGTGATCATGAGTTATTCTACACTCATCATTGTCACAGTTACTGACATTTTCATCATCTGCTTCAATACAATCTTCCGTATTTGAATCAATGTTATGTAAACATCTTTCTTTAGTTATCAGATAGGGTAGACCTCCTTTTATCATTACAGTACCTACATTTGTTTTGTTCTTTTCTATAGTTGCTTTTCCCTTTGAGAAAACTATATTGATATCAGATTCTCTGCTTAATTTTATGGCACTTAGTATGTTGTGAGGTATTTCTGGGATTAATAATACCCCCTCTATTTTCCCTAGACCAGGCAAGGTCACATTTCCTTTGCCTAGTACTTGAACCTTTTCTTGATTAGCTACCTTTATCACAAACTTATCTTCTATAAATGAAGATAATATACTTTTGTTGTTGGTGGTGTGATTTGTTGCACCAGAATCAATAAGCCAATTGTTATTCTCATCCTGTTGTGTTCTGGTGCTGTCTTGTTTATTTAGCCCATTCAGTGACCCAGATTTCCTCTCTTTTGAATTTTCTCTACCCCCTCTACCTTCTTTGTAATTTGGTGGACTTCTATATTTGTGTCTATCTGTGGAAGATTGTCTGTAATTATATTTGCTCCTATATTCTGGCCTATGTCTCTCTCTTGAGACTTTGGGGCAGTCTCTTCTACTATGTTCCCTGGATCCACAATTGTAGCATCTAAAGGCCTCATTATGTTTATCTTGAAAGACTACTTTCCTAAAAGGTTTGTGGTCTGTTTGGTTACTGGATCGATTTTTTCTTGAATTGTCTTCTGCTATCAATTTGTTAGATAGACTTTCTATGGATAAATATCCCAAATTAATGGTATCTAAGTGTGACATAAAGCTATCCCATGATGGATCAAGTGAATTGATAATAACACTTTTCATTGTTTGATCTGAAATCACTTCCCCCCTCAATTGTAGCTCAGCTCTTATTTTGTTTAGATTTATCAAATGCTCACTTATAGAAACCCCTGGTTTTACTCTAGAGGAAAAGAAATCCTTAGACATTCTTGTGGTTGTAGCTACGCTATCGCTGTGAAATAGATTAAACATGCATTGAATTATTTCTGATACAGTTAGGTTTGGTTTGATGCTATGATACATTGCAGGAGACACGCTAGATATTATTATGAAAAATGCTCTATGATGTAAACAATCTATTTTTAAAGTCCAAGGTCTTCTTGGAGGGCTAGTTATAAAGAATAGTAAATTTTCTTTCATGAAAATAACCTGAAGCTGTTGATACCACTCTTGTAAATTAATGCCATCAATTCTAAGTTTTGGGAAGTCACTGGGTAAGTTACCTACATTATTCTGTCCATTACTTACAACCTGGGGCAGTCCGTGATCTCTCAAGTGCAGGAAATTACAGAACGGCATTGGGATGCTTGCAATGAGTCTGCGCGGTTCTCTGGCCAGTTCAAGTCCTTCTGGGTCGTCTACGTAGTTTCGCACATGCGCGTTGCTCATTTCTTCTTTGGTGGCGTCGTGGAAGGTTCTCTCTCTTTCAGCTCTCTCGATCCGCTCCTCCTCAGATGAGTCGGTCTCTGGCTCGGTTTTTGGGGTTCTGGTGGTGGCGACGGTTCTTTTTTTCTTTTTGTGTGCGTTGGCATTCGATCTTATCTGTGGTGTAGGGCGAAATCGGCATGGCTCTCTGGGCTCGGGCGTCGTCGCTTTCGAAATCAGGATGGGAGCGTGCAGGTCTTGAGTCGCCGGTTTGATTTCTTGCTTCTTCGTAGATGTCTTGGTAATTTTCAGTCTTGGCCCGAAAGCAGCAAAAAGCGTTTTCATTGCTGATTTTACTTGAGATTTTGTTAAATCGTCTTCACTTTCTGATTTTGGATCATCTGAAGAGTTTGAGACTTCTTTCTCACTTTCTTCGTCTGTCTGATAGTGTTTTCGCGCCAGAAATTTTGAACTGAGCGTTTTGATTGGCTCTGCTCCATTCTCTTTTGAAGTTCGTTGAAACCAAGATGGCTGCCATTCAAAATTTCGCGCGGGATCACTTCTTTTCTTTTTAACAACTATTTTCTCAGTAGTCATCTCACTTACGGTTTTTTGATCTTTGGGTTTTTCTTTAATGACGTTTTTCTCTCTCGCTGCTCCGCTGTTCTTCAGCATCTCCTGGAGGCCCGCGATGAGACTTTCATCATTCTTTTGGCTTTTTAGTATCTTTAATATCTCTGACCTGAGTTCGTTATTTTCTATTTCGATTTCTTTCTGGTCATTATTTTCACTCATTAGTTCTTCTTCTTCAGTGGTGTATTCTTCGGATTCTCTCGAAATCGCATTGGTGGATTCGTTGATCATCTCTTGATCAGTTTCTATTTCTTTGCTGTAGGCCCTGGTGTTGGGCCTATCTTTCTTGGACATTTTTAATTACTTATTGAGTCAATTAACCATCCTCTGCTACCAGCTTGTTGCAATATTTTCAGGATCAGACTCAATAAAGATAATAGAAGTTAGAGCTTTAAATATATTTCTTTTTAATTATGATAGGCATTCTATATTCACTGAATATTCAAGGTAGAAGCAGCGAGAATGGTGAGGGTGGCTCCTTATATATACAAGGGGTGGAGCTAGGAATGGGGAGTGGTAAGTTATGAATACATTAAAGTCCAAAGAATAAGTTAACCTCTGATGTTCCATAATATACATTATTTACACATTGGAGAATAAGGCATTTACATCTGACAATTTATTTCCTAGTACAATTTGATAGCTTATTAGTAACCTTGACTAAGTGTTATATCGTTTTATTCTTGATGAATGTATTTTATTCTCCTTATGTATACTGAGAGCATATACACCTAAGGCAAATTCCTTGTGTCTCCAATCACACTTGGCCAATAAAGAATTCTATTCTATTCTATTAAAATGGACAGATTTCAACTCCCAGAATTCCCCAGCTGTTCACCCAAAATCCATACATCTTAAAGTCACCAAGTTTGAAAGATGCTTGCTGGAGATAACCGGGGATTGGAAAGAGCTTTTGTGGCCCAGAATATAGGTCAAAATTTCTATTGCTAGGTCAGACAGTTTTCAGTGAGTTTTGACCCCATTTTACGACCTTTCTTGCCACGGTTGTGAAGTGAATCACTGCCGTCAAGTGAGTAACATGGTTGTTCAGTGAATCTGGCTTCCCCACGGACTTTGCTTGTCCGAAGGTCGCAAAAGGGAACGCTGCAATCATCCTCAATATGAACCAGTTGCCAAGAACCCAAATTTTGATCACCTGACCATGGAGATGCTGCAATGGTCATAAGTGTGAAATAGGGTCATAACAGTCACTTTTTTCTTTGCCGTTGTAACTTCGAATGGTTAATAAACCAACTTTAATAAGTTGACATCCACTGGATGTCAAATGGATGGATCAAATGATATAATTGTCTGAATGGTTAACAAGAAAACTTAGAATCTTTCTCTGAACCCAAGAAATGAAATTTGCCAGATCAGCTGGCTGGGGAGTTTGGCTCCAGGGGTTAAAAAAAGACTAGCAAAGGCTGCCGTTGTGTTGCTCCTAAACTTTACATGTGTCATTGGTTCCTTTTTTGGCAGAGGTGGTGCTGACAGGCTCAGGTACCACGCAGATAACTTCAACTATCAGCGCCGTTTCCTTTGAAAATGTGGACTCTTACTACAAACCTGGACTTCCTTTATCTGGGGAGGTAAGTCAAATCGGTTGATGACCTCCCTGGTCATCAATATTTCATTTGAACAATGTATTGACTCAATGGATGAGTAGGACTGTCCAACAGGCCCTTTCCTACTCTTTGGATGCAATCCACTCTTAAGTCTCCGAGATATTTCTCCTGAAGTCCCAAATGTCCTTTTTCAAGAGGCAATTGGACTTTCTTGTTTATCTTCGAAGACGTGTCACTTCTCATCCAAGAAGCTTCTTCAGCTCTGATTGGATGGTGGGGAATGGAAGGATTTATGACCAGCTGTCTGCAAGGAATATAAATCCTTCCATTCCCCACCATCCAGTCAGAGCTGAAGAAGCTTCTTGGATGAGAAGCGAAACATCTTCAAAGTAAAACGAGAAAGTCCAGTTCAGTGGTGAAATCCATTTTTTTTTACTACCGGTTCTGTGGGCGTAGCTAGGTGGGCATGGTGTGGCTTGGTGGGCGTGGCAGGGGAAGGATACTGCAAAATCTCCATTCCCACCCCACTCCAGGGGAAGGATGTTGCAAAATCTCCATTCCCACCCCACTCTGGGGCCAGCCAGAGGTGGTATTTGCAGGTTCTCCGAACTACTCAAAATTTCCGCTACCGGTTCTCCAGACCCTGTCAGAACGTGCTGGATTTCACCTTGGTCCAGTTGCCTCCTGAAAAAGCAGCTTTGGGATTTAGATGAAGGGTTCCTCTTCCCCTCTGACCTAACTCCTGTGCATACAGCTACCCTGTGTGAAGGGTACCCTGTGTGAAGGGTACCTAGACTTCAATCTAGCACAGCAATCAGATCCGTTCCCAAGCCTGTGTTTGCTTTGTAACTTTAGATTAAGCTTGTGGACGGCAAAAGAAACCCGCTAGCGAACAAGACCATTGAGCTTCAAATATCAGAAGTACAGAACAATTCCTTCTACAAGACTGATGCTGAGGGACGAGTCCACTTTTCCATAGAGACTTCCAGCTTCACAAACAATATCATTCAACTCACTGTGAGTATTCCTAGTGATGGAGTTGTTAGCCATAAATCACGGCAAGGTTCGTCACCTGATACGTCCTTTGCCAAATAGGATCTGAAGTGGAAAGGTAATTTTTACTTATGAATAAGAGGAGGCGCAATGGCTCAGTGGTTAAAGACTCTGAGCTTGCCAGCTGGAAAGCTGACAACCAGGGTTCAAGACCCGAGTGTTGTGTGACAGGGTGAGCTCTTGTTACTGGCTCCAGCTCCTACAAAATGTGAGTAGATAAATAGGTACCATTTTGGTGGGAAGGTAATAGCACCTCGATGTATAGTCACTGTTAAGGATATTGTTGTTATGTTACCAACCAGCAGAGTGTAGTGCACAGAGAAACGTTGCTGAGAGCAATGAATAAGAGATGTACAAACTGGTTTATCAAAAGTTTACTTTATAGTGAAAGAACAATCTCATAGTCTTTAAATCAATCCAAGTCTTTGCCAGGTAAATCAGCCCAGTGATACAAAATCTTCTTATCACACAAACAGTAGTTGGTTAGAATAACAAATCACTCTGGTAACAAACCACGATGGTAGCAGATCCATCCAACCGATGATAGCACAATGGTTGCAACTCCGCACACAAGTAGTACAAGTACATACATACATACAAGTACTGTAATGGATTCAGTAGCTTATCATCAACTGAATCCTTTACAGTACCTTTCTTAAATACAACCAGTGATTATCTAATTACAGCATGACTCAGCATTACAATGAATCAGCAGGAAAACTTTAAAGTCACACAATACATATTTATATTAAAGTCACAGAACACATATATTGCCTGGACAACTTGTTAGGCTCAAACCATATCCTAACAGTCACGCTGGCCACATGACCATAGAAATATCTTCAGACAACCCTGGTTCCCTTGGCTGAGAAACGGACATGAACACTGCCCCCTAGAATTGGACACAACTGAGCAAGGGAAACCTTTACCTATTTACAAGTAAAAAGATAGGTCTCCCACAAGGTGAAACGACTCTTAGAAATGGGAGAAATATGTTTGAACTATATCTAAACATATTGGGTTTGGTATGTGCACTTCGAGGGGACGCGGTGGCTCAGTGGCTAAGACGCTGAGCTTGTCAATCGAAAGATCGGCAGTTCAGCGGTTCGAATGCCTAGTGCCGCGTAATGGGGTGAGCTCCCGTTATTTGTCCCAGCTTCTGCCAACCTAGCAGTTCGAAAGCACGTAAAAAATGCAAATAGAAAAATAGGGACCACCTTTGGTGGGAAGGTAACAGCGTTCTGTGCGCCTTTGGCGTTTAGTCATGCCGGCCACATGACCACGGAGACGTCTTCGGACAGCGCTGGCTCTTCGGCTTTGAAACGGAGATGAGCACTGCCGCCCCCTAGAGTCGGGAACGACTAGCACATATGTGCGAGGGGAACCTTTACCTTTACCTTTTATCTGCACTTCAATTAGCCAGCATTACTTAAGTCATAAGTAATAGGTAAAAGTAATAGTAAAATTAAGAAACAGGGCAAGAAAAGTTGTAAAATGGGGCGAAACTCATTTAACAAATTTCTCACTTAGCAACATAAATTTTGGGCTCAGTTGTGGTCGTAGGCTGAAGACTACCTGTATTTGTCCTTAAGGCTTGGTTTCGTGCAGCCAGAATTAGTCCTTCTGTCTCTTTCTTCAACTTTCCTGCTCTTAGCTGTTGCCAGATCTTGTTATTATCTCCTACACCAGCTTTTTTTTTTTTTCCTAATGTATTGGCCATGTGATACTTTGCCTTGCCATATCTCTTTTCTAGTCTTCGTTTGGTCTTTTTTGAAGGCCGCTTTGGACTCTCCAATACCCAGAAAGCCTTCATGGTATACTGTATTAGCTTCAGGGCATCGTCTTCACTGTCCTTCAGATATTCTCCCAATGCCCTTTTTGCTTCAACTCTCCAGTGTATGTGATGATGATGACGATGATGACAATGATGACAATTTGGTATCCTTCCTCTTCTTTGCCAGGCAACTTATGAAAAAGTAACTCAATGTTATGATTCAAACTGGATCACCCCTCAACACAACACTGGCTACTTCTCAGTACCACGTTTCTATTCTCCAAGTCAAAGCTACCTCAAAATTCAACAGCTTCCTGGCACACTAAACTGTGGGCAACATGCGGTCGTCCCGGTCCATTACGTTCTCAATTCAGAGGTCATAAAGGACAAAGAAGTTGTCTTTCACTACTTGGTAAGTATGAACAAAGTGGCCTTTATTTCACTCACAAGGGCCGAAGGAGGAAGGGAGAAGGAGTATCTGAGGAGTAAAGTTGAGCACGGTGGTAGTATCGTACAAGAGGGATGTGGGGGAACACACTGTAGTGTTTTTTCCATAAAGGTTGATGGATGCGGAACAATGGGCCTTTTATGACTTGTGGACTTCAACCAGGGGTGAAATGCTCCCGGTTCGAACCGGATCGCCCAATCCGGTAGCGATGGCGGTGGGTGGTTTGGAGAACTGGTAGCAAAAATCCCTGTGCCCTCCCCCCACATGCCCAGCTGAGCCACGCGATCATCAGAGGCTTTTTTTCTACAACCTCTTCAGCCGAAAAAATGCTTTTAAAAGTAAAAAAAAAAGCCTCTGACAACCCCAGCACTGTGGGCGGATCGTCAGAGGCTTTTAAAAGCATTTTTTTCTGCAACCTCTTCGAAGAGGTTGTAGAAAAAATGCTTTTAAAAGAAAAAAAAGCCTCTGACGATCAGGCAACTCAGCTGGGATCGTCAGAGACTTTTAAAAGCATTTTTTTACAACCTCTTCGGCCAAAGAGGATTTTAAAATGCTTTTAAAAGTAAAAATAAAAAAAGTTGGCCACGCCCACCCAGTCACATTATCCCCACCACCACCAAGCCACGTCCAGTTACCGGTAATAACAAATTTTACATTTCACCACTGACTTCAACTCCCAGAATTCCTGAGCCATCCACTTCTGGGAGTTGAAGTCCACAAGTCATAAAGGGGCCATCATCCCCCACCTCTGATGTAGGACTTCCAGATCTCAGTAGGAAAACTCCAGATATTCATAAGATGGGAAAAAGAATTTAAAAAAAGAATTTTCAGCCCACATCTGGCCACTCTCCCTTAACTAATTGATGGGCCTTCCTTGTTTTGTTAAGTAAATAAGGTATTTATTTGTATTTATTAGTTTGTCAAACATGTACAAGATAGTAGATCTAAATATAAACATGGATATGAACGAAAGAAATAAATGCAAATAAATGGGGACAGTAGGACAGGGACGGTAGGCACGCTGGTGTGCTTATGCATGACCTCTTAGGAATGGGGTGAGGTCCATGGTAGACAGTTTAAAGTTGAAGCTGTGAGGGTTTGAGGATGTAACAACGGACTCAGGTAGAGCATTCCAGGCGTTGACCACTCTGTTGCTGAAGTCGTATTTTCTGCAATCGAGTTTGGAGCAGTTTACCTTGAGTTTGTACCGATTGGTTGCCCGTGTATTATTGTGGTTGAAGCTGAAGAAGTCGTTGACAGGTAAGACATTGTAGCAGATAATTTTGTGCACTGTGCTTAGATCAGACCACAGGTGGCGCAGTTCCAGATTGTCCAAGCCCAAAATTTCAAGTCTAGTGATGAGGATACTTTTGGGGTTTTTTTTTGCACAGAACAAGTCAGGGAACGACGATAAATCAATCATGTTCTTCCTACATCTGCTACAGTGGTGGGTTCCTCCTGGTTCCGCCAGGTTCCGCCGAGCCGGTAGCGGTGATGATATGACGTCACCGAACCAGTTCTGCCCCCCCTCCCCACCCCACCCCGTGTTATTCTTACCTTTTATTTGGCCCCACCCCCAATCTGTTGCTGCCTCTTGAGTCCCAGTTGATCGGTTAGAAGGGAAAAACCTGTTTAAACTCTTGCCCTGAAGCTTCAAAGGGCCGCCCTACAGCTGATCAGTGGTAAAAGGCAGTTTGGTGGTAGACCAGTGCCTGCAAAAATAAATGGGTAGATCGGTGCCTGCAAAAATAAATGGGTAGATCGGTACAGCTCTGCAAGCAGTTAAAAGCCTGGTAGACCAGTACCTCTGCTAAACCCTAAAGAATTGTCACATGACCACCAAGCCACGCCCACAAAATAAGCCATGCCCACAGAACCGGTAGTAAAAAAATTTAGAACCCACCCCTGATCTGCTACCCATTTAAGGGGAAATGCTCCTTTATGTTGGTGCTCTTATTTATGCAGGTAGTTCTTGATTTACCACTACCATATGTTTAGTGACTATTCAAAGTGACACTGGCACTTTGAATAGTGCCATTGTCCAACCCCCCTAAGCAGGGGGTTGGTCTAGAAGACCTCCAAGGTCCCTTCCAACTCGGTTATTCTCTATTCTGTATTTGGATCCTGTCCAACTGTAGAGGTCTTGACAATAAATCCTTCTGTTTTTTCTCACAAAGGTGGTGGCCAGAGGGAATATTGTGAAGACAGGTACACATCCCTTGAAAGAAAAGCACAATAAAGGTAAAAAAAAAAATATGTTCCCTCTCTTTCCATTTTCCCTCCACTCATTTTCCTTTGGGAATGAACGGATGAAAGAATCGGCCTCTTATTCCCTTTTTTTGCCCGAAATGCTAATAAAATCTCATCTCCAAAGACATTTTGCCAGCCACGTTAATCGGAAGAGCGTATTCCAAAATGTGTTGATGGCCGTTAGGTCAACGGAAGATAAATTCACGCAGGCAGGTTCTGTGAATTTTTATTAATCAACACCTTAGCTGCACGAATATTACACCGAAATATCTATAAAATGCATTTGAAGAGATCCTTGCTGTGTGGGTGAACCTGCAGACATAATCATACTAATAAAGGAGAATATTTGTAGCTCACGGTTGAGATGAGGGGTCCTTGGGGCTCCCTGAGCTTGGTTGCTTTTATGCAGACATTTCACTGCCCATCTAGGTAACATCATCAGTGCTAGTAGGAAGTGGGGTTTGCTCTCAGTCAGTGGTGAAATCCACTTACCTTCGCTACCAGTTCGGGAATGGGAGTGCACGGGAGAATCTTCTGTGCATGCGCAGATGGTAAAAAAACGTGATGTAATGACATCCTGGTGGGTGGGCGGAGCCTCCTGCCACCGGCGCTACAGGTTCGGCGAGCTAGATATAACCGGGGAGATTTCACCACTACTCTCAGTTTATATTCTAGTGCAGTGATGGCTAACCTTTTTGCTGTCGCGTGCCAAAAGCGGGGGGAGCACGGTGAGGTCGCCCATGTGTGTGCCGACACCAGTGGTGGGTTCCTCCCGGTTCGGTCCGGTTTGGCCGAGCCGGTAGCGGTGACGATATGACATCACCGAACCAGTTCTCCCCCCGCCCTCCCCCCCCATGTTATTCTTACCTTTTATTTGGTCCCACCCCAAATCTATTGCTGCCTCCTGAGTCCCAGCTGATGACTAGAGGGAAAAAAACTGTTTAAACTCTTGCCGCGGGGCTTCAAAGGGCCGTCCTACAGCTGATCAGTGTTAAAAGCAAACAAATGAGTCGGGTCGTAAGTGCGAGGACTGGTCGTAAGTGCGAGGCCCTTCCAGAAATGACTCTGACCAGCTAGCCACGCCCACCTAGTCACATGACCTCAAAGCCACACCCACAAAATAAGCCACGCCCACAGAACCGGTAGTAAAAAAAATTAGAACCCACCCCTGGGTAACCGGTGACGTTTCCAACATTTAGCTGACTTTTCTTTAAACGTTTTTGCCAGTTTCTCAGGTGGTATATGCCATCTATAAGCCGTGGTCATTTCGACAGTTGACAGTGGAGCTGCATGCGTGCACATACTCATCTGCCACTTGCACGGCCTAGTTCCACATGAGCCATGGCCCAGTATGAGCCGCAGCCTGAGTGAGGGGGTTGGGGACCCCTTTCCTAAGGTCATTATTAGACCTTGTTTCAGTGTTATCTCAGGGAACTGAACTCTTTCAAATGGATCACCCTGGCCTTAATTCTTTGCAGTTTTTCAGCCTCCCTGAAAAATGTCTTTTCTTTAACCAGGAACATTCAACTTGGATCTCCTTGTGGATATCAAGATCGCTCCTTCGGCCCGCTTGCTTGTGTACACAATTTTGGATAACGGAGAACTTGTGGTGCACTCTGCCAGGTTCCCTGTGGAGCCCTGTTTTGCAAATAAGGTAAGGGTGCCAACAGGCTTCATCCATTCACCCTCCTTGCTCCAAAAATGCTCCAGACCCCAATTTATCATTTGCAGAGATGTAGCTTCACTGAGGAGCCTCCATCGCATTGCCAACTTGTTGCTAAGACAGGTTTAATGGTAACAGAATAACAGAGTTGGAAGGGACCTTGGAGGTCTTCTAGTCCAACCCCCTGCTCAAGCAGGAGATCCTATGCTAGTGATGGCTAACCTTTTTGCCATCACGTGCCAAAAGTGTGTGTGTGGGGGGTTGCGCACGTGCGTGCCCACACCCATAATTGTATGTGCCCCACCCACCCCATGCATGTACGCATGACCCTCCCCCCACACTTTTGGCACGCGATGGCACAGTGGGCCCAGTAGGCCTGTTTTTTGCCCTCCCCAGGCTCCAGAGACTTTCTAGGCGCCTGGGGAGGGCAAAAACTGCCTCCCCAGACCCGGAGGCCCGAAACAGCCTGTTTGCCAACTTCCGGTGGGACCGGAAGGCCCGGAAATCAGCTGTGTGCATGCGCGCTGGAGCTGAGCTTGCTTGCCTACCGGTATGGCTCCGTGTGCCACCTGTGGCCCGCATGCCATAGGTTCGCCATCCCGGTCCTATGCCATTCCGGACAAATGGCTGTCTAGGCTCTTCTTGAACTCCTCCAGTGATGGAGCACCCACAACTTCTGAAGGCTAGTGAATCAAGGTGAAGCGATGAGAAGGCGAGACTTTCTCAGACCACCTGCCTGCACAGATGTTTTCTGTCATGCAGAGGTGGCCCTAAGGGAGGCCACTGATCCATTGGCCTATTGCAGGATCACCCCTCCCATCTGTCTGGAAGAGACTGCCTCCATAGGTGGTTGTCCTGCAGCTGCCAGAAAGACTGGACACACCCTTGTTTATGTGGCATTTGCTTGTGGGAATCACAATTTTGTGGGAGACTGATTGCCCATTTCACAGAAAAGGAGGGAGAGAAGGAGGGAGGGAGGGAGGGAGGGAGGGAGGAAGGAAGGAAGGAAGGAAGGAAGGAAGGAAGGAAGGAAGGAAGGAAGGAAGGAAGGAAGGAAGGAAGGAGCAAAATTTTCATCCTACAGTACCTAGTAAAAGAGGAAGGACTGGATCCTGTCAGAAGAATAATTTGGGGTTCCATCTCAAGCCAGCGCTGCGCAAGAATAAATAAAAATGAGATCCAGAGAGTTGTGAGGAAAGAAGAAATATTAATTCCTAAAGGAAACAGTTTGCCTTTAGGGGAAGGCTGCAGAGAAATGGGATACAGCAGCAGATATGAACCAAGACAAATTCCTTGTGCGTCCAATCACACTTGGCCAATAAAAAATTCTCTTCTCTTCTCTTCTCTTCTCTTCTCTTCTCTTCTCTTCTCTTCTCTTTCTTCTCTTCTCTTCTCTTCTCTTCTCTTCTCTTCTCTTCTCTTCTCTTTCTTTTCTCTTTCTCTTCTCTTTCTCCTCTCTCCTCTCCTCTTTTCTCTTTCTCTTCTCTTCTCTTCTCCTCTCCTCTCCTCTCCTCTTTTCTCTTTCTCTTCTCCTCTCCTCTCCTCTCCTCTCCTCTCCTCTCCTCTCCTCTTCCCTTCCAGTCCAGTCCAGTCCAGTCCAGTCTAGTCTAGTCTCGTCTATAATTTTATAGTTTTAATTTTAATAATTTTATAATTTTAATAATCGTCTATAATATAAGGGGAGCATGTCTGGGATGTCTATGTGCTGATTCTAGGATGACACTTGAGGATGTGTGGGTGGGTGTGTAGATATGTTTATTCTTGTGAACATGCAGTTCCTTTGGGAGACCTAATTTAATTAACTCCATATTTGCAGACCTTGTCCTTTGATATGTGAATTAGGTCTGGGTAATTTATCTGAGGGTTTGAGGAAGTTTGCTAATTTTAGTTGATTACCTTGGTTTCAGCTTGACTGTCAATTATCTAGTGGGCACAATGATTCCTTATGCCATTGTGGATTCTGTTAATATTTTAAGAGAAGATGGCAGCATAAAGGATAAAATATATTTGGATACAAAACTTCTCACAATCCCCTTTAGAAGTGTCGCCGCCATCTTGTAACCGTCTCCCTTGCTTTGCAAAGAGATTGGCCTGTTTTCTTCTTTTTAGCTTTATTATAGGTTCCGGCTACTACAAGATTTTTCCCTCAGTCTTTTTAATGGTTTCCCCTTTTTTCCCTCCTTCGGGTTAAATGGAGAAGGAAAGATGGTGGGGCAGGGGCCCTTCAGGCAGCGTTTGCAATGGTGTAGGTGTGTCTTCAAAAGGCAACAGGCAAAAAGTCTTCTGCCTGATCACAAAAATTGGTTGGGGACAATTTTAGAGGAGAAGGACGTTTCGGGGCGATTTTGTTGTCCTTGTGGTGGGGAATTCATCGTCGTTTTCTGTCACTCAGGTGGAGCTGCGATTTGATGAGCGTGAAGGCCTGCCCGGCAGCAACATCAATCTCCATCTTGCCGCTGCCCAGAACTCCCTCTGTGGCATCCACGCGGTTGACGAGAGCGTCTTCCTTCTGAAGCCTGAAGCTGAACTTTCCGCTCGAACGGTGAGGCCAAGTTGCCTTCCAGGTCTTGGCGGGCTGCAAATTCTCGAGCCCTACATGCGATGGCCCCTCAATAACAAAGTTGGAAGGGACCTTGGAGGTCTTCTAGTCCAGCCCCCTGCTGAAGCAGGAGACCCTGTACCATTTCAGACAAATGGCTGTCCAGTCTCTTCTTAAAAACCTGCAGTGATGGAGCAGCCACAACTTCTGGAAGCAAGCTGTTCCATGGGTCAATTGTTTTCAGGATCTCTTCCCGCAGGTTGACTGAGCTGCCGGCCATCCTCCATCGAAGCAGGGGGAGCCTCCCCTGAATTTCCCCTTAGAACAATTTGGCTGCTGCAGCGACAAAGTCCATGGGCAGCTAGTGCCAGCCTTCCAATCATTTGCAGTGAATATGCTGTCTGAAAAAAAGGAAAGGAAAAAAAAAAAAAGTCAGGCTTTTGGCAGCCTGTTAGGGATTTGGAGGGTCTATGGAAAGTTCATCAGAAATGGAAGCAAAGGGAGGGAGGGAGGGAGGGGGGAGAAAGGAAGGAAAGAAGGAAAGAAGGAAGATAGGAGGAAGGAAGGAAGAAGGGAAAGAAGGAAGGAAGGAAGGAAGGAGGAAGGGAGGGAGGGATGAAGGAAGGAAGGGAAAGAAGGAAGAAAGGAAAGAAGGAGGGAGAAAGGAAGGAAGGGAAAGAAGGATGGAAAGAAGGGAGGGAGGGAGAAAGAAAGGAAAGAAGGAAGGCGAGGAAGGAAGGGAGGAGAGGGAGGAAGGAAGGGAAAGAAGGAAGGGAGGGAGGGAGGGAGGGAGAAAGGAAGGAAAGAAGGAGGGTGAGGAAGGAAGGGAGGAGAGGGAGGAAGGAAGGGAAAGAAGGAAGGGAGGGAGGGAGGGATGAAGGAAGGAAGGAAAAGAAGGAAGAAAGGAAAGAAGGAGGGAGAAAGGAAGGAAGGGAAAGAAGGATGGAAAGAAGGGAGGGAGGGAGAAAGGAAAGAAAGAAGGAGGGCGAGGAAGGGAGGAAGGAGAGGGAGGAAGGAAGGGAGGGAGGGACGGATGAAGGAAGGAAGGGAAAGAAGGAAAAAAGGAAAGAAGGAGGGAGAAAGGAAGGAAGGGAAAGAAGGATGGAAAGAAGGGAGGGAGGGAGAAAGGAAGGAAAGAAGGAGGGGCGAGGAAGGAAGGAAGGAGGGAGGAAGGAAGGGAGGGAGGGACGGATGAAGGAAGGAAGGGAAAGAAGGAAGAAAGGAAAGAAGGAGGGAGGAAGGAAGGAAGGAAGGGAAAGAAGGAAAGAAAGAAGGAGGGAGGGAGGAAGGAATATGACTTCTGAGACTGCATGTTTCGTTTAACTAGGCCTACTTCGGCAGTCATTTTGTGTATACAAATAGTCCTCGGCTACTGATAACTCATTTAGCGACTTTGAAGTTACAAAAGGAGACTTCAGACCAGTTGTTGAAATTGTAGCTGTTGCAACATCCAGATGGTCACTTGGCAACTTTTACAACAGTCATAGCCTCCTGCAGTTGTGCAAACACTAATCGAGGCCTTCGTTGCTAGCCATTCCGACAAGCAAAGTCGTAAGTCGAGGAACTACCTGTACTGAACTGGGGGTTTCCATTCTTTTCAGGTTTATGATCTGCGGCCTTGGAGAGACCTCTCGGGCTACTACTACAAAAGTGAGAACTTGGAAGACCCAGACACGAACCCCTGTGTGCCTTCCAAAAAGATCATTGTGGATGGAATTCGCTACCAGACTGATACCTATTCTTACAGTGAAGGTGACGCCTATGCAATTCTCAGGGTAAGCCCCCCTCCTCCCTCCCCAAACTCTTGGCAGAATTTCACTCTGGGAGTTGTTAGAAATGTCAATCATTTTTAGGCTGAGCCACTCCATCCCAAGAGCAAAGAGGTTTTTTTTTTAAAAAAAAATAAATGTATTTAATAAACAAAAGATGAAAATGAGTGAAAATAGGATTGTTTTTTTAAGGAAACATACACCGATGAAACGTTCTGAGGTAATCCCATGGCTGCTCTCTGAGGTGGCATTCCGTTTAGCCCTGAAAAGAGTGAAGAAGAAAAAGTGGATGGATGCTGCAGGGACACAGAGACGTGGCTGGTTAAACATGGGGTGATCACAGAGAAAGTGGATAATTGTGGAAAATGCTTTTTATTTAGGCTATTAGGGATTAGGGATGTGCGGATCACTATAAATGTAGTTTGTTTTGATTTCCACATTGGAACATAGAATAACAGAGTTGGAAGGGAACTCAGAGGTCATCTAGCTCGACCCCCTGGTCGAGCATGAGACCTTATACCATTTCAGACAAATGGCTGTCCAATCTCTTCTTAATAGCCTCCAGTGATGGAGCACCCACAACTTCTGAAGGCAACAAGCCATTCCACTGCTTAATTTCTCTCGCCATTAGGAAATTTCTCCTTAGTTTTTCCTGGATTTCTTTTTCTGAAGAAAAGAACAATCTTCTTTTTGCTTTCATTCCCAACTCTCCCCAATATGTAGGACTTTTTGGGACAGAATTGATTTTAAGTGTGGAGGCTGCTGACATACAAAGACAAAACGTTTTCTCTCTGACTTTATTACATGGATTTCCCCAAAGTTGGCTTTTAAAAATACCTAACATTGTTCTTACACAGAGCTGCAGAAAACCAGGAGCCTGGTAGCCCCTTTTCACTACTAGCAAACCAGATGTGTTTTGCGTTGTGTAGGGAGATTTATTTTACCAAGGAAGGGTACCTGCTTAGTACCCTTTGTTATCTGTACCCTGATTATATTTCTTTGTATTAGATTTTGCAAATCTGTTCCTGTAGAAATCAGCGGCAGATTTCCTTTGTCTCAGCCTTGGTATCATAATTTTCCTAACATATTGTAAGGTTTTGACACAGAGCTGCCACGGTGGCCTAGTGGTGAAGACACTCACCTCCCACTCAGAAGGTTGAGGGTTCAATCCTAGGCAGCGGCAGATCCTTCTCTCCTAGGAGGCAAAGAAAAAATATCTGCTGTGAACTCCATGTGATGTCAGGAAGGGCATCCGGCCAGTAAATGCTCAGCTCCATTCAGCCACCCCGATTCTACCCCAAATTAAGGGATTATGTCAAATTATGCCGACTGGCGACTCCCAGGGGGAGGGCCTTCTCTGTCAGGGCTCCAACCCTTTGGAATGAACTGCCCCCGGAGATACGGAATATCCCTGATCTCCGTGATTTCCGCCGTGCCCTCAAAACCCTGATGTTCCAACAAGCGGGGCTAAACATATGAACATGTGAATGTTTTTAAAATGTTATCTAATTTTAGGTTCTATTTAATTGGGCCAAACTATGTTATAATAATAATTTTAATTAGCAATTTTATGATGTTTGTGTATCTATATTTTTCTTGACTGTACACCGCCTTGAGTCCTACGGGAGAAAGGCAGTATAGAAATATAATAAATAAATAAATAAATTATAGGATTGTAAAAAGGGAGTGTTGTATTTTTGACACATTCCCCAAAATGAAAAGGGTGCATTGTCACATCCATCTTTATTTTCTAAGCAGTTTAATTACAGCACTCCAGGTAGATTATAGATGGATAATAGATGGACAGTTGGATGGATCGAAGGGGAGAGAAAGAGGGGAGGGTTCTTTTCCATGCTTTTTGTAATATTTCATAGCGAATTTCTGCTCATTTTACAGGACATTGGTTTCAAACTGTTTACTAACGCCCAGATATACAAGCCTAATATATGCAGCAGACCAGAACTGGATAACTGTAAGAATCTGAAGGGGATTGATAGGGTGGAGTGGGGGAACATCTATTTATTTCTTGATTGCATCTGAAGATCAAAAAAGTCAAGATGGTGGCTACAACTGCCCCCTTAAAGCCCTGTGTCTCCTTTATGTATATAAAATGAGGCAGGATAGGAAGACTCTTCACGCCTTTGAACTCTGGTGTTGGATGAGACTCCTGAGGGCAGAGTGGACAGCTGAAAAAACCTGATGAATCATTGAACCAATCAACTCCCAGTTCTCACTTGGGCACAAAGGATCAGCTCAAACTATCATGTTATGTCAAAACCTAGCTTTCTTGAGAAGACTCCCATGCCAGGAAAGGTGGTGGAAGGAATGAAAAGTGGACAACACACATCAAGCGGGATGGACTCCATTACAAGAGTGATGGAGGGGTTGTTAGAAAAGCTGGAGGACCCAGTTAGGGATGGATTGTCATGCAGAATATCTATATCAGGGTCCCCAACACCCAGTCTGTTGACCAGCCCTGGTTTGTGGCATGCCAGCAACAAACAAGCGAAGCCCCATCCGCTGTATGCAAAACTATGCCCCCTCCGGTCCGGGGACCAACCTTTCTCCACAGAACTGGTCCCTGGTGCCCAAAAGGTTGGGGGTCCGCTGATCTATGTAGTCAGTAAGAATCAATAAAGCGCGATGACTTAGTGGCTTAACAACGCTGGAAATGGTCTATGCTCCAGTGGTTTGAGTCCTAGCACCGTGTGACGGTGTGAGTTCCCATCACTCAGCTCCGGTCCACCTAACAGTTCGAAAGCATGTTCTATGCGAGTAGATAACGAGGTACCACTTCGGTGGGGAGACAAGATGGTGCTCCGTGCAGGCAGTCAGATTCCTGCCAGTTCTGAACCTACCCAGTTGTGGCACTCATTTGTGAGGCAGCTCCGGGGAAGGGACGGGACCTTAGGTGATGCTGCAGGAAGAGCCGCTCGTGGTTTGTTTTAGGTTTTTTTTGGTGCGAAGCGAGCTCTTCCTCCTGTGGCACAACTTGGGAAGCGTGCGAGCTAGTGGTGGGTTGCTACCAATTCGCCCCGGTTCTGCTGAACTGGTAGTGGCAGTGGCGGGAGGCTCCACCCACCCACCCATCATCAAAAACTGGTAGCACCGGGATTTGAAACCCACTGCTGGTGCGAGCGTGTCCTATAACAGAGCTGGTAAATTGGCAAGCCAAACTATTATTTTGCAATAGCATTGTGATCTCCTGGCTAATGTAAAAATGAGGATAAGGATAAGGGCGAGGGGTAAGGGTGAGGATGATAAGGATAAGAGGATAAGAATAAGAATCAACAACAAATCGATGACATATAGTTATCAATCAAAGAGACAGGACTTTGCTCAGTTGCAGCTACCCTCTTGACTTTTGCTGGAGAAAGTGTCCTTCGCACTTTCTTTCCTGCATTTCCTTCTCTTCGTTTAACATTCTTAAGTGCTTGTGGCTCTCGGAAGTGTTAATTATTATCTTTTAAATGTTTGTAAGGGTGATGGGTGTGGTTTTGGAGAATTCATCCTGAAGGACAGCTTGGAGATGCTTTTCCGCCAGGCCGGGCTATCAGTGTAAATGATTTTAAATTGGGTGTTTTAAATTTTGGGTTTTAATTCGAGCCGAAATTATTTAATAATTTTAATTATTTTTTAATTGATGTCTGGTTTTTGTGCTTTTAATGAGCTGTACACTGCCCTGAGTCCTTTGAGAGAAGGGCAGTATAGAAATAAAATTATTATTATTATTATTATTATTATTATTATTATTATTATTATTATTATTATTAGTAGTAGTAGTAGTAGTAGTAGTAGTAGTAGTAGTAGTAGTAGTAGTAGTAGTAGTAGAGTATTAGTTAATCTTTAGTGAGATTCACAGCCTTTGAGGCTGGTTAATAGCTCAGCAGCTCGAGTCCTAACCAAGGACCTAGGAACTGTTAAGGTATTTATTATTATTATTATTATTATTATTATTATTATTATTATTATTATTATACAAAAGGCATGGAAGAAATGCAAGCTTTTTCTCTTTGCAGACCCCGGGGCCTACACCACCATGGAAAGAGGTTTTGCAGTACCTCTTGCAGCTGCAGATTTTAAAATGGAAGACGCCATGGAAACATCCGTCCGAAGCTTCTTCCCAGAAACCTGGATATGGTCCTTAAAATCTCTTGGGTAATCCAAGGATTCTATATTTGGTGGAACGGGTAGCTCTTCAGGGAGAAATTTTAAGACCTTATAGCTTATAGCCATGATGGCGAACCTTTGGCACGCGTGCCACAGGTGGGACGTGGAGCCATATGAGTGGGCACGCCAGCTCAGCTCTGGGGTGCATGTGCGCGCCGGCCAGCTGATTTTTGGGCCTTTTGGGCCCACCAGAAGAAGGGAAACAGGCTGTTTCCTGCCTCTGGAGAGCCTGGGGAGGGGGGGAAGCTCCCTCGGAGGCCTGAAAGGCCCCATTTCCCAACTCCCGGTGGAACAGGAAGTGACTTTTTTTGCTGTCCCCAGCCTCCAGAGACTCCTGAGAGGCCTTTGGAGGGCCTCCAAGGGAGTGGGAAAAGCTGCTTTTGCCCTTCCCAGATAAATAGAGAGGATCTGGAACCAGGTAAGAAAGAAAAACCAAGAGCCTTGGTAGTACAAGGGTTTAAGGCACCCTGTTATTAAGCTGGTTATTAAGACCAGCTGCCTGCAATTACTGCAGGGTTCGAATCTCGCCAAGGCTCAAGGTTGACTCAGCCTTCCATCCTTTCTAAGGTAGGTGAAATGAGGACCCAGTTGTGGGGGCAATAAGCTGACTTTGTATAAATATACAAAAGGATGAAGGCTATTGCTGAGCACATTGTAAGCCACCCTGAGTCTTCGGAGAAGGGCGGCATATAAATCAAATTAAAAAAAAAAAAAAAAAAACGGGCCTACCAGGCCATCATGTGCCAGGAGCGGGGGGGGAGGGGGAGGGTTGCATGCGCGTGGGCACGTGCGTGCGTGACCCTCGCCCGCCCCCCCTCTCTTGGCACGCGATGGCAAAAAGATTAGCCATCACTGGCTTATAGCAAGCACAGGGCGGGACCCTTTGTGACCCCCTTGATCCGGACACCTGGTTCCCCAGAGGCTCCTGGTACGCGGATGCTCCTCAGGAGGCGCTTTCTCTTTAGGGATTTAAGGCTCTTTGGGAAGAAGGTCCAGTCCTGGGATACACAGAAGGTCAACTGAAAATAGGAAAAAGGGACCATTCTGCCATTTCACGCTGCTAATTCCTCCACCCACCCACCCCCATGTGTGCCTCTGTGAGCATTCAGCTCCTCCTGCCCTCAAAGGGGGTTCCATTATTTGTGGCCCCTCCTGTGGGGGTCTCTGCCGTCTTCCCTTCTCAGCTCAAGTGGGAGAGGCTGAGTTTGGGTCGGTCCCCCCTTTGAGCCAAGAGCTTATTAGGCACAGATGGAGGGCAGAGGCAGCCATGGAGCTGTACTCATAGATAATAATAATAATAATAATAATAATAATAATAATAATAATAATAATTTTATTTCTATACCGCCCTTCTCCCGAAGGACTCAGGGTGGTGTACAGCCAATTTAAAAACACAAGACACAACAATAATTAAAAATTAAAATAATTAAATAGATTTGGCCGATTTAAAACCCCAAAAATTAAAATACCCCAATTTAAAATTATTATATTGACAGCCCTGCCTGGCGGAACAACAGGGTCTTCAGTGCGCAGCGGAACACCCGGAGGTCGGAGATCTTACGTATTTCCGGGGGTAGTTCATTCCACAGGGTTGGGGCTCCCACAGAGAAGGCCCTCCCCCTGGGTGTCACCAGCCGACATAACTTGGCTGATGGCACCCTGAGGAGACCCTCTCTGTGGGAACGGACTGGTCGGTGGGAGGCTATTGGTGGCAGAAGACGGTCTCGAAGGTATCCGGGTCCTGTGCCATGGAGCGCTTTAAAGGTGGTAACCAACACCTTGAATCGCACCCGGAAGACCACTGGGAGCCAGTGCAGCTTGCGCAGGAGGGGTGTCACGCGGGCACAACGAGGTGCGCCCATAACCACCCGCGCGGCCGCATTCTGGACCAGCTGGAGCCTCCGAGTGCTCTTCAAGGGGAGCCCCATGTAGAGAGCATTACAATAGTCCAGCCGGGAGGTGACAAGGGCATGAGTGACCGTGCGCAAGGCGTCCCGGTCCAGAAAGGGCTGCAACTGGCGGATCAGGCGAACCTGATAAAAGGCCCCCCTGGCCACGGCCGTCATATGCTCTTCTAAAGACAGCCGTGCGTCCAGGAGGACACCCAGATTGCGAGCCCTCTCTGTGGGGGGCAAAGATTCACCCCCAATAGTCAGCGATGGCACCTGCTGACTATATCGGGATGCCGGTAGCCACAGCCACTCGGTCTTGGAAGGGTTGAGTCTGAGCCTGTTCCTCCCCATCCAGACCCGCACGGCCTCCAGGCAGCGAGACATCACATCAAGGGCATTGTTGGGGTGGTCTGGGGTGGAGATGTACAGCTGAGTATCATCAGCGTACAGGTGACACTTCACCCCAAAACCACGGATGATCTCACCCAGCGGCTTCACATAAATGTTGAACAGAAGAGGCGAGAGGACCGACCCTTGTGGCACTCCCCATGCGAGATGCCTCGAGGTCGACCTCTGCCCCCCTGCCAACACGAACTGCGAGCGGCCGGAAAGGAAGGAAGAGAACCACCGCAAAACGGTGCCCCCTACTCCTAACCCCTTCAACCGCTGCAGCATGATACCATGGTCGATGGTATCAAAAGCCGCTGAGAGATCTAATAGGACTAGGACAGAGGAGCAACCCCTGTCCCGGGCCCTCCAGAGATCATCCACCAACGCGACCAATGCCGTTTCTGTGCTGTGCCCCTGCCTGAAGCCCGACTGGTACGGGTCTAGATAGATAGCTTCATCCAGGTGCCTGGGCAGTTGTCGTGCCACCACACTCTCAACAACCTTCGCCACAAAACGAAGGTTGGAGACCGGACGATAGTTAACTAATTCAGCCGGGTCCAGGGAAGGCTTCTTGAGGAGGGGCCTCACCACCGCCTCTTTCAAGGCGGCGGGAAAGGCACCCTCACTCAGAGAAGCAGTTATAATCCCCTGGAGCCAGCCTCGTGTAACTTCCCGGGAGGCCAGTACCAACCAGGAGGGACACGGGTCCAATAAACATGTGGCGGCACTAATCCTACCCAGAACCCTGTCCACATCCTCGGGAGCCACAGGATCAAACTCCTCCCAGATAATATTCTCAAGACCTACCCTCGTCTCCTCCCCCGGACTCACCCAGTCGGAGTCCAAGCCTTCCCGAATCCGAGCGACTTTATCGTGCAGGAATTGCACAAAATCCTCAGCTTGACCCTGCAAGGGATCCTCCCGCACTCCCCCCCGAAGAAGGGAGTGGGTCACCCTAAACAGGGCAGCTGGGCGGTTCTCTGCAGATGCGATAAGAGCGGAAAAATGGTTAGATTTTGCCGCTTTTATCGCCACTAGGTAGGTCTTGATATAAGACCTCACCTGTGTCCGGTTGGAATCAGAATGACTAGTCCTCCAAATGCTCTCTAGGCGTCTTTTCCGACGCTTCATCTCTCTCAGCTCCTCAGAGAACCAAGGAGCCAATTGAGATCGGCATCGGGTCAGAGGCCGCAAAGGCACGACACGATCCAAAGCTCCGGCGGCCGCACTCTCCCAGGCGGCCACCAGCTCTTCAGTCGAGTCGTGTGTCAGAGTCTGTCCTCAGTGGGTGGTCATAAGTTGAGGACTACCAGTATTTACTTATTTATTTATATGTCACATTTCTGAACTGCCCATCTCAACTTAACAACCACAACCGAGTTCAAAATTGATGCTGCTATTAAGGTTAAGGGAGTTTGGCCTCATTTTATGACCTTTCTTGCCACAGTTGTTAAGTGAATCGCTGCGGTGGTTAAGCTAGTAACCCGGTTGTTAAGTGAATCTGGCTTCCCCCCCCCCCCGAATTACTCTGCTTGTCAGAGGGTCACAAAAAGGCGATCACATGACCCCTGGACACGGCCACCGTCATACATACGAGTCAGTTACTTAAGCATCCAAATTTTTACCTCAGGGATGCTGCAACAGTTGTTAGTGTGAAAAATGGTGACAAGTTACTTTTTTTCAGTCCTGTTGTAACTTCGAATACAGGGAGTCCTCGACTTACAACAGTTTGGTTAAGGACCGTTCAAAGTTACAACATCACTGGAAAAAGCGACTTATGACCGTTTTTCCACACTTACGACCGTTGCACTATCCCCATGGTCACGTGATCAAAAATTCGGATGCTTGGCAACTGCTTCCTATTTATGACGGTTGCTGTGTCCTGGAGTCATGTGATTCCCCTTTTGCGACCTTCTGACAAGCCAAGTCGACGGGGAAGCCAGATTCACTCAACGACCCTGTTGCTCATTCAATAACGGCAGCGATTCGCTTGACAAACGTGGCAAGGGAAGTCGTAAAATGGGGCCAAGCTCGTTTAACACATTTCTCACTTGACATCATGCACTTTGGGCATAGAATGGTGGTCGTAAGATGAGGACTACCTGTATTGCTTGGGGAAATTCATCCTCATCTTTCTCTTGCCTCTTTCTTTCTCTTGCTTTTCTCTTTCTTTCTTTCTTTTCTTTCTTTCTTTCTCTTGCCTCTCTCAGCAGCAAGACTGAGCTCACCCTGCCCGTCACCGTTCCCGACACCATCACAGACTGGAGAGCGGGAGCCTTCTGCTTGTCCCCAGCGGTGGGTTTCGGCCTGGCCCAAACCACCTTCTTCAAGGCCTTCCAGCCGTTTTTCGTTGATCTCACCATGCCATACAGCGTAATACGGGGAGAAGCCTTTACCCTGAAGGCCACCGTCTACAACTATCTCAAACGCCCCATCCAGGTGAGGAATCCCTTCCATCTGACTAGGTGGCTCAGTGGCTAAGACGCCGAGCTTGTTGATCAGAGAAGTCGGCAGTTTGGCGGTTCGAATCCCTAGTACAGGTCTCCTGCACGAGCAGGGGGCTGGACTAGATGACCTCTGAGATGACCTTCCAACTCTGTTACTGTTACTTACTCTTCCCCCTCCATTCTCTTCCTGTCTGCATCGATCTCTCTCTGGAGGCATGGCTGTTTATACAGGTTCATTTAGTGACCATTCAAAGTTACGGTGGCACTGACAAAATGACCGTTTTTCACATTTACGACCCCATGGTCATGTGATCAAAATCTGGACGCTTGGCAACTGGCATATACATATAACGGTTACGGTCTCCCGCGGTCACCCCCCATGGTTACTAACTTAAGAATCGCAGTGATTCGTTTCACCATGGTGGTGAGAAAGGTCATAAAATGGGGGGGGGAACCCTCACTTAATGAGTGTCTTGCTTAACGACAGTCATTTGGGGTGAATTGGGGTCGTAAGTCAAGGACTACCTGTATTTAAACCAAAGTTTGTTCGAAGCACGATTTCCAAAAGCAAGAATCTGAGGGTTGAAAGTAACCATGGTTGGTTTTTTCAATTTTGGCCCCTTTTTTTCCTTTCTTTTCGCTGCCTTTTTCTTTTCTCTTTGATGGGGTGGGCAAAGGAGAAAAATAAACAAGGAAAAAAACCCAGAAAAGGACCAATTATGTGTATTCTTTCACCCATCCCAGTCACAACCAGGAAGTCAATACCGAACTAGAGGTTCTAACTATGCCTTTAAAGCAGGGGTCTCCAACCTTGGCAACTTTAAGACTTGTAGACTTCAACTCCCAGAATTCCTCCATGCTGGCTTGGGGAATTCTGGGAGTTAGAGTCCATGCATATTAAAGTTGCCAAGTTTGGGAAACTCCTGGACAGGAATCTAATTGCTGCTTATATATAAGAGTCGTGGTGGCATAGTGGTTAGAATGCAGTATTGCAGGCTAATTCTGCCGACTGCCAGCAGTTCAATCCTGACCAGCTCAAGATTGACTCAGCCTTCCATCCTTCCGAGATTGGTAAAATGAGGAGCCAGATTGTTGGGGACAATATGCTGACTCTATAAACTGCTTAGAGAGGGCTGTTAAAGTACTATGCAGCAGTATATAAATCTAAGGGCTATTATTATTGCTATATATACTACTAGAGCTGTATGGGGGTGTATAAAGAGGGTTATCCTCATTTTATTTCTCCTCTTACAACACAGTGAGAGGTTATTGATTTGTGCAAATAAAGCATAGGAAAAGGGGGGAGGTGGGGCTTCATTTGCAGAGACGTGGGTGTCATCGTGAACTCTGGGAGTTGAAGTCCACAAGTCTTAAAGCTGCCAAAGTTGGAGACCACTGCCTTAAAGCAAACCACTTTGTTCACTGAACCGGTTTGTATATTAGGCAAAGTCTATCACAACCCAACTTTAAGATTCCTTGTGTGTTCTTGAATAACCCAGATTTAACCATAAGCAGCATCTCCCTTCGTCTTTATAGCTCACCTTCTGATCGGGAAATTAGGTGATGTGAGATGCTTTGCAAATGCTAATTTCAAAAAGTAGAGAAGAGAAATGATAAAAGCATGATTTTGTTGCATTGTAGAATTCATCTTCCATCCAGACCATAGAATTTGGAAAGAGTCCATGCCAACCCACACACGGCTAAAAAACGGAATGAATGCATCTGTAAATATTTTGTAAAGCATTGGTCGGAGACGGGACTGACCAGTTTTTTTCTTTGAAGATGTTTCGCTTCTCATCCAAGAAGCTTCATTCTGTCAACTTCTTCTTCCACTATCCTGTCAGAGCTGAAGAAGCTTCTTGGATGAAAAGCGAAATGTCTTTAAAAAAAACCCCAAAACCCTGAGAAAATCCAGTTGCCTCCTGAAAAAGAACCTTCCTTGATTCTATCCCTGTGCTCACGCAACTTAGAATTGATATTGTTGAACTACAGTTCTCAGCCTCCCTCAGAGCGAACTGCTATCCAGCGCGGCTGGGAATTGTAGTTCAGCGAGATTTTGGAAGGGCTCAGATTCTCCACATCTGCTTGAGGCCCATCTGGCATTTTGTGTGACGTTCTCCATCTCCTCTTCCTCCTTGTTCTGTGAGCCTGTGAGGCAACGGTGATCTTCTCCATCTAACTCTTTTCTGGCCGTTAACAGGTCAGCCTATCGCTATTGCTTTCTCCCGACTATGACGCTACCCCAACGGACAAGCAACAGGCTTCCTATTGTCTGCCTGTGGACGGAAGGAAAACGGTCTCCTGGAACATTATTCCCAAAAGTCTGGGTAAGTGGTGAAGGCCAAACATGGCTTCTTAGGCTTGTGCCTCAGCTGGCATGCATATTTTCCGTATACTTTTTTATATTGGGTTATAAGATAAAATAAGATACAAAATAGAAAAGTAAACAGGAAAACGGTGGGGAGGAAGAGAGGGAAGAAAAGTGAGGAAGCAGGAGTGAAATGCTACTGGTTCGCACCGGTTCGGACAAACCAGTAGTAATAAAAGCTACCGATTCGGGCGAACTGCTAGACAAAAAAAATACAGATTCATCCAAACCGGTATTTCTGACGATCAGCTCTGCCGTGCGATTTAGATCCACTAGAAAGCAGGAAATCCTGCTTTCTAGCGAATCTAAATTGCACGCCATAGCTATTCCCCACCCTCGCTGTTCTACTTACCTTCTTAAGCCTCCTTTTTTCTGCACGGGCAGCGAACTGGTGGTAAACTGAGGAGGTTTTCACCACTGTGAGGAAGGATAAGAAAAAAAGAAAAAGAAACATTGACTTCCAACTCTCTCTGTTGCAGTAAAATAAGGCATTAACATCAAATCACACGTTTTGTTTTTTCATAATAATATGAACAAGCCATTTCTATAAAGATCTATCAATCTAATTGGTAAAACCCCAAATCAAAGTTTAATTCCTTTCCACTTCAAGCACAAAGTGCAGAAGCAGTCTGAAGGGGGAGAGAGAGAGAGAGAGAGAGAGGGAGGGGGAGAGAGAGAGAGAGAGAGAGAGAGAGAGAGAGAGAGTTTGATGGCTACTTATCGGGGTGAAATGCTCCCGGTTTGGACAGATCACTCGATCTGATAGTGATGGATGTGGGTGGTTCGGAGAAACGTAGCAAAAATCCCTGCCCCCCCCCCCCCCCCCGTCCAGCTGATCTGCACAATCATTAGAGGGGGTTTTTTACTTTTAAAAGCATTTTTTCTACAACCTCTTTGGCCGAAAAAATGCTTTTAAAAGTTAAAAAAAAAAGCCTCTGTCAACTCAGCTGGGATCGTCAGAGGCATTTAAAAGAAAAAAAGCCTCTGCCGATCAGGCAACTCAGCTTGGATCGTCAGAGGCATTTAAAAGAAAAAAAGCCTCTGCCGATCAGGCAACTCAGCTTGGATCGTCAGAGGCATTTAAAAGAAAAAAAGCCTCTGCCGATCAGGCAACTCAGCTGGGATCGTCAGAGCTTTTTGAAAGCATTTTTTTACAACCTCTTCGCCGAATACTTATATGTCTATAAGTATAACCTCACTGAAACCTCTGTATGTGTGACTTACAACAGTGACTGTTCGAAGTTACAAGGGCACTGAATAAAAATGACTTGTGACCGTTTTCCACACAGCCTTCGCAGCATCCCCCCATGGTCTCATGATCAAAACTCGGATGCTTGGCAACTGGCTTGTATTTACGACAGATTGCACTGTCCCAGAGCCACCTGGTCGTCTATTGTGACCTTTTGACCAGCGAAGTCAATGGGGAAGCCGGATTCCCTCCTTAACAACCAAGTTACTAACTTAACAACTGCAGAGATTTCCCTTAACAACCACAGCAGGAAAGGTCACAAAGTGGGGCCAAACCCATGTAATGACTGTCTCGCTTAGCAAGGGAAATTTGGGGCTCAATTGTCCTCGTAAGTCGAGGACTACTTCTATAATTCTTACTGTCTAGATCCGGCTTCAAACTCCCTAGGGTTTCACTGGCAGTTTGTCCTTACCCAGACAAAAAAACAAGAAATATACAAGAAAAACAAGAAATAAAGGAAAAAAGAATAGCCATAGCAATAGTGCTTACTTATATATATATATATATATATATATATATATATATATATATATATATATATATATATATATATATATATATATATATATATATATATTATATATATATATATATATATTATATATATAATATTATATATATTATATAGGGGGAGAGCCTTCTCTGTGGAGGCACCTACTGTCTGGAATGAGCTCCCCCCAGAGATACGGAGGATCCCGGATCTGCGCACCTTCCGCCACGCTGTGAAGACCTTTTTATTCCACCAGGCGGGCTTAGCCTAATCTTTTCCCTCTTTTTAATATATAAATTTTAATCTGTTTTTAAATTATCGGGGTGTTTTAATTTGTCCTGGCCAAAATTGTTTAATTCGATTTTATCTGGTTTTTTAAATTTTTCGTATTTATGTATTTTATTGTTTGGCTGTTCACCGCCCTGAGTCCTTTGGGAGTAGGGCGGTATTACAAATCAAATCAAATAAATAAATAAATAAATAAATACCGCTTCACAGTGCCTTTACAGCCCCCTCTAAGCAGTTTACAGAGTCAGCATATTGCCCACAGCAGTCTGGGTCCTCATTTTCCCGACTTAGGAAGGCTGGGTCAACCTTGAGCCTGGTGAGAACTGAACTGCTGGCCGCCGGCAGTCAGCAGAAACAGCCTGCAGTACTGCATTCTAACCGCTGCGCCACCACGGTTCATAGATGGTCAAGCAATCTGGGGATAACACCTGACTAAGTGTCCATTTTGGTTCTAGGGGAAGTCAACTTCACAGTAACCGCAGAAGCCCTGAAATCCACCCAGCTCTGTGGGAACGAAATTCCGGAAGTGCCTGCCAAAGGACAAAGGGACATCATAATCAAAACCCTCCTAGTCGAGGTACGTACAAGCTGCTCTCATGTGTGGCGAGGGCAAGGACGGGGTTGAGAGTAATGACATATTAAAGTCAGAGTCATGTTTCCTAGTAAATTAAGTTTTCTTTTCTTTTTTTTTGAATTTTTTTTTATTTATTTTTCAACATAAAACATAAAACAGCATCTTTTTAGAGCAAGGGTTTGATCCGGTATAAAATAAATTTCATCAGTTAACATCTTAAAGGGAAAAAAAAGAAAAAAAGAACAAATCTAAACCCAATTTTTATCATTCAATCTAACATCTTATTCTAACATTTAATATTTTATTATGCAATCACCCTAAATCTTAAACTTCAAATCTAAACAGCTCTTTATAATATCCACTTATCATTTTAACAATCAGTATTTCATATATTTTCCTTACTTCAAAGACCCAGATCAAGTCAATGTTTCTTTTAACTCACATCTAATAATCAGCATAAAGTATTGTATTCCTCTCTTAAGAACATTTCAAAATCAGTAACTGTTCTTCAAAAATAGCTCCTTCACTCCTCCTAGGTTTATTTTTAGCTGGATTGCAGCTTAATTAGCTGGTTTCCAGGGGTGCTTTTCTCCACTCCTAACCTTATTTGTTGGCTGGATCACAGTTTAGTTTTAACTGCTTTCCAACATTTTCCCCTTCACTCCTCCTAGGTTTATTTTTGGCTGGATAACAGCTTTTCAGCTGTTTTCCAGGGATGCTTCCCTCCACTCCTAACCTATATTTCGCTGGTTCACAGTTTAGCTTTAATTGCTCCCCAGTATTATCTCCTCCTCTCCTCCTAAGTTTATTTTTAGCTGGTTCACAGCATAATTTGCTGTTTTCCAGGGATGCTTTCCTCCACTCCTTACCTTATATTTAGCTGGTTCACAGTTTAAGTTTTCTTGAAGACAGTGTGAAAGGGCTCGGTTGTTTTTTTTTCACTTGTTGGAAGAAATATTCATCTGGTTCAGTTCCAAGTGGGGAGAAAGACACTGGAAACATGGAGGCTAATTGGAAAGATGGTTTATTGGTGAAGCGGAATCATACCAGTGGTTCGAATCCCTAGTGCCGCATAATGGGGTGAGCTCCCATTACTTGTCCCAGCTTCTGCCAACCTACCAGTTCGAAAGCACGTAAAAAATGCAAGTAGAAAAATAGGGACCACCTTTGGTTGGAAGGTAACAGCGTTCTGTGCGCCTTTGGCATTGAGTCATGCCGGCCACATGACCACAGAGACATCTTTGGACAGCGCTGGCTCTTCGGCTTTGAAACGGAGATGAGCACCGCCCCCTGGAGTTGGGAACGACTAGCACATATGTGCGAGGGGAACCTTTACCTTTACCTTTAGCCATTTCTATAACACCAAATCTTTCTAATCAACAAAACCAAGATCGGCATAGGAGATATTTAAAAATTCAGAAAATAACTTAGGAATTTTAAGAAATATCTAACATTCATTTTCACTTGCTCCCTCTTCTTCTCTTTTCATAAAGCCTGAAGGAATTGAGAAGGAAGCAGTCATCAACAATTTGCTATGTGGAGCCCGTAAGTATCAACCAGCAGCCCCCACTTTCTCCTTCCTGCAGCTTCCATGATTAAGGCACAAAGTCAGTTCCAGCCTTCTCTGGCCTCCAAATGCGTTGGCATACAAATCTCATTGTCCCCAGACAGGATGGATTATTGTGTGTTGGAATTCATTGTTGAAATGTGTTCCTATGCAGCACCTACAGTAGTGTTCAGATCTATGGTATATATGCTTTTGTTCTGAGTAGAGCTTCCTGTTATAGTTATGGAGTTGAGCAGTAAAGCACATGGTGATTGTACTCTTCGTTTGCTCTATATGGTGCTTTATATAAACATAATTTCTAACATTGTGGATAAGCTAGAGGATGCCAAATTGGGAATGGCTGGATAAAGTAATGAATACACATTTTAGCCGCATGATGAGAGAGTCACATTATTTTCCCTAAATGGTTATTGAACTGGCTATTTTCCAACTGTAAATCAAGATGCTTTGCTTACTATGATGTATAAAGCTTTGCCAATCGTGTCAAAGGTGCTTTTTTTCAAAAGGAAGCTGGACTGTTTTTTTCCTTGAGGAAGAAGAAGACATTTCGCTTCTCATCCAAGAAGCTTCATCAGTTCTGACTGGATGGTGAGGGGATGGAAGGATTAAGAACTAAATCTTCCTTTCAACAGTTCTAAGAAGGCTCCATACCCATTATCACTACTCAGGTGACCCAAGTGGCCACAACAACTCCCTAAGAGAATGCAAATGACCAGTTGTCTGTAAGGAATATAAATCCTTCCATTCCCCACCATACAGTCAGAACTGATGAAGCTTCTTGGATGAGCAGTGAAACATCTTCAAAGAAAAACAAGGAAAGTCCAGTTGCCTTTTGAAAAAGCACCTTTAAGACAACTATGACCCGGATGACTGAGAATCTCCATAGACATAAAGCTTTGCCAACTTAAGCTTAAGTAATTGCTCCCATATTCTTAATTTTTCCACAAGGCACCTCAATATATTAAACAGCTATTTATAGCATGGCAGGCTCAATCCATGAAATAATACGATCAGTGGTGGGATTCAAATAATTTAACAACCGGTTCTCTGCCCTAATGATTTCTTCCAACAACCAATTCACCAAACTGTTCAGAAAGTTAACAACCGGTTCTCCCGAAGTGGTGCAAACTGGCTGAATCCCACCACTGAATACGATCCCATAATAATTACAAGTTAGCTAAAAATCTACCTTTCAGCCAAGCCTTGAGCATTTTCTGAGGGAGATTTCAGGCCGAAATTGAACCTGGGCTCACCTTGTTCTCTAGAACTGATCACCTCAAATCCTAATTAGCATTTCACAACCCCAGAAAAGTTATCCCATTCTTGCAAAAAAAAAATTTTTTTAATTTTTTTTTTTTAAATCCATTTAAAAATGAATTAACTGGTCCTCTACAATATATTGCTGTTTCTCCAACATGCCAACTTTAAGACATATGGATTTTAACTCCCAGAATTCTCTAACCAGCATAGGTCCACATGCTCTACAGTATGATCCTTACATTTATATATATTTTAAAAACCTCTTTAGGCAGACGCTTTTTGCTAGCGAAAGAGAACCATATGGCCCTTATAGAGTAGGGGTGGGCAAACATGCAGCCATAGAGCCCTGGTGGTGCAGTGGTAAGAACGCAGTAGCGCAGGCTAATTCTGCCGACTGCCAGCAGTTTGATTCTCACTGGTTCCAAGATTGACTCAGCCTTCCATCTTTCCAAGGCTGGTAAAATGAAGACCCAGATTGTTGCGGGCAAAAGGCTGACTCTGTCAACCACTGTGAAGTGGTATATACCCTGTTTTCCTGAAAATAAGACATCCCTTGATAATAAGCCAATTGGGCTTTTGAGTGCATGCACTAAAATAAGCCTCCCCCCGAAAATAAGCCCTCCCCAAAAATATTTAAATGCAGAACTGGAAATCAGGTAAGATGGCAAGAGCAGCTCCACGTGCCCCAAAATAATAAGAACTCCCTGAAAATAAGGCCAAGCACTTATTTTGAGGTTCAAAAAAATATAAGACAGGGTCTTATTTTCGGGGAAATACAGTAAGTCCAAGTGCTATTGCTATTGCTTAGAGCAGTGATGGGTAACCTTTTTGCCGTTGTGTGCCAAAAGCGGGGATAATGGGGGGATTGCGCGTGCGCGTGCTAACACCCATAATTCAATGCGCTCCGTCCCCCCACACATACATGTGTGACCCCCCCCCACTTCCCCCCGCTTTTGGCACGCGATGGCATGGTGGGCCTGGTAGGCCCATTTTTTTGCCCTCCTCAGGCTCCAGAGCCTTTCTAGGAGCCTGGGGAGGGTGAAAACAGCCTTCCCCACTCCCCCGGAGGCCCTCCGGAGGCCCAGAAACAGCCCGTTTCCCGAGTTCCGGTGGACCCGGAAGGCCCGAAAATCAGTTGGCCAGAGCGCACATGCGTGCTGGACTGAGGTAGGGCAATGCTCGTGTGCCCACAGATATAGCTCGGTGTGCCACCTGTGGCACCTGTGCCATAGGTTCACCATCACGGGCTTAAAGCTACAGGTGAGTCCTAGAACTTGTGAAATCTAAAGGAGAGGCCAATTAAATGTCCCCATCCATTGGATTAAATAATGGATAGAGTCAGCCGCCAATGAGAAAATTAGCAATAAAAGAACCAAGAGGCTCAATTCAGACTGTCTTTTTTTTTCTCTCTCTCCTTACTTGCAGAAGACAGCCAATCCACAGCTATTTCCTTAAAGGTCCCAGAGAACATAGTGGAGAAATCTGCCAGAGCTTTCTTCTGTGTGTTGGGTAAGTGATGTACTGTTGCAAGAATCTGTGTGCAGGTTTGCTATTCTTTCTCCTCGGGGAAGTAAAGGTAAAGGTTTCCCCGCCCAGTTATGTCCAACTCTAGGAGGCTCTGCTCATTTCTGTTTTTTAGCCAAAGGAGAAAGCATTGTCTGAAGATATTTCTGTAGTCATCATCAAGGGTGAAATGCTACCGGTTCGCACCGGTTTGGGTGAACCGGTAGTGGTACGGTGCGTGGTTCAGTGAACTGATAACGGTGGCAGCACAAGGCTTCACCTACCCACCCAGACATCATTATTTCCTGGTTTTAACCAGGAAGTAACCTGTTTTTGACCCTCTGCACATGTGCAGAAGGCTCTGCGCATGTGCAGAGAGTCCAAAACTTACATGTGATGCTAGCGCACACTTCCGAACCAGTAGGGAAGGTAAGTAGATTTCACCCCTGGTCATCATGGCTCTATGTTGAGGCACACGGAAGGCGATTACCTTCCCTCCTAAGTGGTACCTATTTATCTACTTGCGCTTGCATGCTTTCAGACTATTAGGTGGGCAGGAACGGGCGGAAGCTCATCCTGTCGCACAGCACTCGGGTCTCAAATCTGGGTTGTCAGTTTTCCAAGGAATAAATTGAGCGTCTTTAACCACTTCAAAAGGTCCCCACATTTTTATTCCAAGGGGCCTTTTAGGAGGAGGTTTGTGTGTTGAGATACAGCCAAAATACAGACACTTATACTATACTACCCGTACTTCATGCATATGTCCCTGCAGCTTTTTATTAAAAATACACGACAACTCAGAAGAATGGATCTTGCTAGGGGTGTGAACTGTTTGTTAGTAGAACAGACGATCTTAGAAAGATGGAAGTTTTTCCTTTCAAGAGGAGGTTAGGCAGATCCACAGACTTCATAAGCCAATTCTTAGTTGTCCTGAGGAACCACAGAAGTGAGATGCTGTTTGGAGGCACCAAGGAATGCTTCCATGTACAATAAACAGTCTGCTTAGAAATCAGAAGCAGCCTGAGATTCATACAGCCCCTTTCTCTGATCTCATTTTGAAAAGCCTTTAAAACTTGTTTTTCTGCCAGGTGGATGGCAGGGTCCTTATCAGGACTTGCTGTGGCATGGGATATGCCAGATTTTCTGTGTCACTTAGTCAGTTGACAACAGTCAGTTGACTGTTGTTACTAATTTATCTGTTTTTCGCATTGCACATCAGCCAGAGATGTTTTGGCTTGGGCAGCTGTGCCAGGATCTAAGACAACTCACCCAGTGGTGAAATCCAAATTTTTTACTACCGGTTCTTGGGGGGGGGGGCTTGGTGGGTGTGGTGTGGCTTGGTGGGCGTGGAATGGTGGGCATGGCAGGGGAAGGATACTGCAAAATCTCCATTCCCACCTCACTCTGGGGCCAGCCAGAGGTGTTATTTGCCCAGTTCTCCGAACTGCTCAAAATTTCTGCCACCGGTTTTCCAGAACCTGTCAGAACCTGTTGGATTTCACCCCTGCCCCAAAGTATTCCCAACTCTTGACGTCTTTCGTATCTCTCTTGTCTACCACAGGTGACATCTTAAGCTCAGCCATCCAGAATGTGCAGCAGCTTCTCCGGTTGCCTTCCGGCTGTGGAGAACAAAACATGGCTCTCTTGGCCCCCAATATTTACATCTTGGACTATCTGAACCATACTGACCAGCTGACTGAGGAAACGAAGTCGAAGGCAATTAGTTACTTAGTGTCTGGTAAGAAGATTCATGGAATTATGCAGAAGGGCCTGTACCTGCTTTTCCTTTGAGGGGAGGCAGAACAAGAGGAATTCATTCATTCATTAATTCATTCAATTCATTTGATGCTCACCTTGCCACATTACGACTCTCAAGGAATTGTTTCTGATTGACAAGATTAATAATAGAAAGGATCAATACATATATTCCTGCCAGTTTTGCTGGAAATGTGACCTTAGCTGAATTATCAGCAAACCATCGGCTTAATGATGAATTAAATTAATTTATAGTGGTCAATTTTGATAATTAATAGCTGCAAGTCCAGGATACCTTTGCTTATCTTCTGACCCCGTTTTCCATTTAATGGAAAATGAAAAAAAAAAAATAATGGATAATAATTTTCCTTTTATTGAAAAGGGATATTTCCATTTATGAAATATTATTTTATTTTACGACACAAATGGCATCTCTGATGTACTTAGTGAGCGTTCTTCTCCTTTAATTATAAATCTTTAATTCGATTCCTTCTAGCCTCCAATTTTTAAAGTCTATGGGAAGAATTCTTTCTAACTAATTCCAAAATCATATTTCAAATTTATCTCGACTCTTAGACCCATTTATAAGTTTCTAAAATCCAAGTTTTAATTAAAATTTCTTTCCCCAAGAATTAAAAGAAAGTTACGTGGGGTTTTCAGACTTGTGGATCCAAAGGTTCTTAATAGCTAAAAATTGGTTAACAAGCAATTTCCGGAAGTAATGAGAAAAAGAAGTACAATATATGAGCCCAGTATCCTTAAAAGATGCTGATCATGGTTTGAGCATTCCCTCATCTCCCAGGCCTCTAAATTGAATGGAGACCACTCTCTTGTTGTGGATTTAATAAGACAAACACAACTTTTGGATTAATCAGAGACAATTTATATATTGCGCAATAGGTTCAAAGCTCTGTACATGAAGCGTTGAACAAAGACAGAAATTAGGTACAATGGTTTTATACCCTTCTAGACAAAGGATTCTGTTAACTCAGCAATTCATATGGTCATATACATTTGTCATTTTTAATTGACATTTCCTAATTACTGAGTTTCTTTGCAAAACAGTTATAATTCTTTTTGTAGATTACTGAAGCATAGACTCAAATCATCTTCTGACGATAGACAACTTTTAACTCATGTGGATCCCCTTGACCTAACCAACCTTTAAGCTGTATGTCATTAGAATGTTTTCTTCTGACAACTTAGAGGCCTCCTAGAGGAACCAAAAGGATTTTGGCTGAGTTTGTACTTTTTCCAACCAGATGCATTGCTTTTTAGAATAGAGTGAATAGAAAGGTATCCAGTAGTCATCTATCAGAGCCCGCTTCATTTACATTACTCTTGTGGTCTCTTTGAAAGGAGCAACTATCTGGAGCATTTGTGAGTGATCTCAAGTCTTCTCCTTGCTGGAGAGGAATTATCAAAGAGATGGTCTACTTTCAGTTTGCATATTGGCTCTGCCTTTTTGTGGAGCCATCTTCATCATCTCAGAAGTCTGGGCGTGGTCACCATTTGTACGGGAGACTACCAAAAAGTCCCAATTTCCTAGTTAGACTGGGAGGTCAGAAAATGTCAGAGTATGAATATTCATGGACTGCAATAGATCAGCCAATGGGGACTGAATGGAGACATGGTAACAAGGTCAGCCAATGAATAGGCATGGTAACAGGCTCAGCCAATGAGGCTTATTTAGAAACAGAAACTTAAGTCTGAAGTCTGGGCGTGGCTTAGGCAACTGAGTCTGCGCAGAAGCTTATCCGCCCTGTATAGAGGAGGCTCTCTTTGTATTAAGCTCTGAGATGAAACAAGCCTGGGCTTGCTTGTCTGCTCTGCTGAAATGAAACTAACTGTTCTCTCCTGCCTGTGCGTTTTGCTTGTAACTGCTACTACGTGGAAGAAGAATCTGCTATTGGTATTGTACATTTATCTTCGTGTGTTTTATGTATAGAAAGAAGTTAATGAACCCTGCTGCATCAGTTTACCTGTGTGTGCTTTCTGGATTTAATTTTCTGCAACAAACTCTTGACAGAAAACTATTACAGTCAGTTTCTCTAATGTAAAAAGAACAAACGTGGATGTATCTCCAAAGTAACTCAGCCATGAGCTTGACTCAAGGAAGGCCTCGCCATTTATTGAATAATACGAACTAACGTTCACCCTCCATTTACAGGCTACCAAAGACAGTTGAACTACAAGCATGCCGACGGTTCCTACAGCACCTTTGGAGAATGGAACAACCAGCCCGGAGATGTCTGGTAAGGTTCACAGCATTCACCTCTGAGCAGTCTCTGTGGGATTCAAATCTTTTTTACTACCGGTTCTGTGGGCGTGGCTTGGTGGGCATGGCAGGGGAAGGATATTGCAAAATCTCCATTCCCACCCTACTCCAGTGGAAGGATAGGCAAAATCTCCATTCCCACCCCACTCCAGGGGAAGGATATTGCAAAATCTCCATTCCCTCTCCCCACTTGGGGGAAGGATATTGCAAAATCCCCATTCCCTCCCCACTCCTGGGGGAAGGATATTGCAAAATCTCTATTCCCTCCCGATTCCATGGGAAGGATACTGCAAAATCCCCATTCCCTCCCAACTCCTGGGGGAAGGATATTGCAAAATCTCCATTACCTCCCCACTCCTGAGGGAAGGATACTGCAAAATCCCCATTCCCTCCCCACTCCTGAGGGAAGGATATTGCAAAATCCCCATTCCCTCCCCACTCCTGGGGGAAGGATATTGCAAAATCTCCATTCCCACCCCACTCTGGGACCAGCCAGAGGTGGCATTTGGCAGTTCTCCGAACTACTCAAAATTTCCGCTACCGGTTCTCCAGAACCTGTCAGAACCTGCTGAATAGCACCTGTGCCTCTGAGGTTGTCTGCAGATTTGTGTGTGTGTGAATGCAGAAAATGTATTTCTCATCTTTGCCAGTATCGTTCGCAAGGCAAAGATTTTCCTGATTACAGGGGAAGCTTGTTATGGGCAGGAATAGTAGACCAGCGAGATGCTGGTATGGGTATGTCTAGTCTAGAGAAAAGAAGGAGCAGGGGTGACATGATGGCAGTGTTCCAGTATTTGAGGGGCTGCCACAAAGAAGAGGGAGTCAATTGATTTTCCACAGCACCAGAAGGCCAGACAAGAAACAATGGAGATCAAAGGATAAATAAAGGAGATCAGGTCTCCTTTGCATTTTAATGGCTTATTGGTGATCATTCCACACTGAGCAGGGGAGATTATTCCTTAAAGCAGGAGTCTCCAACACCCTCTCCCCGGTCTGTGGACCAGCATCAGGTCACGGCATGCCAGAAATCGGGCCACGCAAACAAACGAAGCGGGATACAGGCAGCACACGAAACGACACCCCATCCGGTCCTCGGAAAAAAAACTCTCTCCATGATCCCTAGTGCCCAAAAGGTTGGGTGTCACTGCTTTAAAGGGTACCTAGAGGCTGCAAATGAAAAAAAAACAAAGTAGATACAGATTAACAGAGTTGGAAGGGACCTTATAGGTCATCTAGTCCAACCTCCTGATCAAGCAGGAGACCCTATACCCGTGATGGTGAATCTATGGCACGCATGCCACAGGTGGCATGTGGAGCCATATCTATGTGACACACGAGCATTGCCCTAACTCAGCTCCAGCACACATGTGCGTGCCTGCCAGCTGACTTTTGGGCCTTCCAGGCCCACCGGAAGTCGAGAAACGGGCTGTTTCTAGCCTCCAGAGGGCCTCCGAGGGGGTGGGGAAGGCTGTTTTTGCCCTCCCCAGGCTTCTAGAAAGTCTCCGGAGCCTGGGGAGGGCGAAAAACAGGCCTTCCGGTCCCACCGGAAGTTGGGAAATGGGCCGTTTCCGGCCTCCGGAGGGCCTCTGAGGGAGTTTGGAAGGCCGTTTTCAATCTACCCAGGCTCCAAGAAAGTCTCTGGACCCTGGGGAGGGTGAAAAATGGCCCTATCGGGCTCACCGTGCCATTGCATGCCAAAATGGCACAGTGGGGGGGGTTGCATGCGCATGGACGGGGCACATTGAATTATGGGTGTGGGCACGCACGCGCTTGACATCCTCCCCCCACGCTCCCACGCTTTTGGCACGCGACGGCATCACAGCCCTATACCATTTTTGACAAATGGTAGTCCAATCTTTTCTTGAACGTCTCAAGTGATGGATGTAATGGGGTTTTGCTGTATGCTTCCTTGCAGGTTGACTGCTTTTGTGTTGAAAAGCTTTTCTCAAATGAAGAGATACATCCCTGTGGAGGAACGACAACTGATCGACGCTCAGACCTTTCTGGCCTTAAAGCAGAAATCAAGTGGCTGCTTCCAAAGCACCGGGACCCTCCTGAACAATGCGCTAAAGGTACAGAGAAAAACCAACCAGGAGAGGTCACCGTAGCCTCCACAAAACAGCGCAAAGAAAAGGATAATTCTAATGATAGAGATGACAGTTGTGGGGGGGGGGTCAATATTACAGTTATCAGTTTGTTTGGTTGTTCATCCTAAGTTACTGTATTTTTCGGAGAATAAGACGCACCGGAGTATAAGACGCAACTTTAGTTTTTGGGGAGGAAAATAAGAAAAAAGCTGATTGGCAGGTGGATCGGCCTCCCGGAATACCTCCAATCAGCTGTTCCCTGAGGAGAATTTTAGTACAACCAGGTTCCTTGGTTGTGAGCTCTGTGCCTTGCTTTTTTTCTGCTTTTTGTTTTGCCTCTGAAACGTCTCCGTTTCAGAAAAAAACTTTTTTCCCTGCCTCTGAAAGCCTCCGAACCAGAGCTTCAGAAAAAAAAGCCTCCGAAGCTCTGTTTGGGGGCTTTTTTTCTGAAGCTTCTTTTCTGATGCTTTTTTCAGCCTCTCAAACTTCCGTTTGAGAAGCTGGGCGGGCCTACATTCCGGAGTATAAGGACGCACCCAGATTTTCACCCTCTTTTTGGGGGGAAAAAGGTGCGTCTTATCCTCTGAAAAATACGGTAAATATAATGTTAATATTAGGTGACCTGTGGGTTTGAGGGTTGGGCCATTTTGCTGAGGAGCAGGATCAGTAGTGGCATAGGGCAGCAGAGCGATGGCTAACTGTCTGGCCGTTTTTTTGGACAAAAGGGACCTTCAAGTGGCCTCTTGACCTGTTGGGGGATGATCAGGTTGGACGATAAGGTGGTTGTCATCTAAGGATGATGACAACTGTAGTCAGATTTATCAGAAGGAAACTAAGCAAAGATTAGTAGAGCAGAGATGGAAAAAGAGATATGTATAGGGCAGTGATGGTGGACCTTTTCGGTACCGAGTGCCCAAACCGGAACGTGTGTACATGCACGTGCAGGTGCGAATGCCGGAACACCGGAAACCTGAAGACTCGCTGCCAGTGCGCATTCACGTGCCAGCCAGCTGGGCTTCAGGTTTCAGGCACAAGCATGTGTGCCGACCACAGGGGTGAAATGCTCCTGATTCGGACCGGCTCGGGCAAGTAGGTAGCGATGGCGGCGGGCAGTTCGGAGAACCGGTAGCAAAAATCCCTGCCCCCGCCCCCCATGCCCAGCTGAGCCGCACGATCATCAGAGCCTTTTTTTTCTTCTAAATGGCTCTGACGAGCCAAGCTCTGACGATCCCAGCTGAGTTGCCTGCTAATCGGTAGCAAAAATCCTTCCCCCTCCCCTCCCCTCAGCTTGCTTACCTTAGCTGCTGGTCGCAACGCCTTGCTGTAATCCCTGCAATCCATTGCATCAGCAAGCAACTGAATCTCCCTGCCTGCAATCAAGCAGGCAGGGAGTTGTGGACTTCAACTCCCAGAATCCCTCAGCCAGCAAAGCAAAGCTGGCTGAGGAATTCTGGGAGTTGAAGTCTACAAGTCTTAAAGTTGCCAAGGTTGGAGACCCCTGTTCTATTGGGTGAGTTTTTTCACCCTTTGGGAGCTTTAAAAAAACAGTTAATTGGGTTTTTTTTTTAGTTGTTCTTTTTTTAGACCTAGCCATTTAAAGTTTAGGAAGTTTTAAATTGAGCTGCTTTTATATAAAAATAAAAATAAATTAAAATAAAATAATATTTGTGCAGCTTTCTGACTTTTAGTGTGTTCCTGTAGTGTTTCACTCTAACTACACAAACACACAAAATCTCACAAAGCTGTATGTGGGGTGGGGGACAGGGATTTTTGCTATCGGTTCTCTGAACCACCCGTCTCCATCGCTACTGGATTGGGTGATCTGGTCTGAACCAGGAGCATTTCACTCCTGGTATAGGGGAAGCAGTGTAGAACTGACTTAAGGAACCATTTGCATGTAAATCAACTTGAGTAACAAAAGTGCTTTTTTCCTAAAGGAAACTGGACTTTTTTGTTTTTCATCGTTTGGGGCGGGGGGGGGAACATTTCACTTCTCATCCAAGAACCGAAGTTCTGAAGAAGCTTCTTGAATGAGAAGTGAAATGTTTTCAAAGGAAAAAAAAAAACAAGAAAAAAAAAAACCCAAGAAAGTCCAGTTGCTTTTTGGAAAAAGCACCTTTGGGACAACCAGGACCTGGATGATTGAGAATCTCCATAGATAATCTGAGTAAAACCTCTCCCCATTTTGTGCATTATATGGTTCTGAGGGGAACACCAAATGGTGACCTCATCTTCAACAACCTGAGGCACCTTTGCAATAGGTAGACTACAGATCCTAGAATCAACATGTACATGAGGGAGAATTCTGGGCATTGAAGTCCACATATCTGGAGGTTGGGAAAAGCGACTTAGGGAGAAGGGAGCTGTCCTTCCTGTACTCTGTGGCGCTTATGGCTGCATCCTATTTTCTTCCTTACAGGGCGGAGTTGATGACGAGATCACTTTGTCAGCTTACATCACCATCGCTTTGCTGGAGATGCCCTTGCCTGTCACGGTAAGAAGCTGTCTTCACCTCCCACAGACTCCAATTTTGCAACTCATCGCTCAAGAAAGCTTCCTCTGAAGCTGTTTACTCCAGAGCATAATAAAAGTCAAGATGCTCTCAGTTGAGTTTCATTGGCTGCATCCAAGTGTCAGTTCTACAACTGCCATCTTTACCACATTCAGTTTGTTTGTCCATCTTCATTTAAAACATTAATGGTCATTTACACAATTACCACAGAATTTATCTACCGTACTATGTTACACCAAGCCTACTTATACTTACAACCACAATTGAGTCTAACATTTGTGTGCCACCACACAAATCATAGCAGTCCTAATCTCACCAACCCTACACAAATGGCTGAGATAGCAACAGCACTTAGATTTATATGCCGCTTCACACTGCTTTACCGCCCTCTCTAAGCGGTTTACAGAGTCAGCCTATTGCTCCCAATAATCTGGGTCCTCATTTTACCAACCTCGGAAGGATGGAAGGCCGAGTCAATTTTGACCCTGGTGAGGATCGAACTGCCGAACCGCTGGCAGTAGAATTAGCTTGCAATACTGCATTCTAACCACTGCGCCACCATGGCTGTAGATCAGGAGTACCCAACTCCCAGGACGCAGACTGGAACTGGGCCATGGCACGCCAGAAACCGGGCCGCACAAATGAGCGAAGCCAACAATGGGTTTCACTTACCTTTGCTACCAGTTCGGAACTGTGAGCACGCGTGTGCGCTTGCTTCGCTCGTGCGGAGCACTTCTGAGAATGCACAGAACCTTCTGCGTCCATGATGACGTCTGGGTGGGTGGAGCCTCCCACTGCCGCTATTGGTTCGGGGCGAACTGGTAGAAACCCACCACCGAGCGAAGCCCCATTCAGTGGTGGGTTCCTCCCGGTTCGGTCCGGTTTGGCCGAGCCGGTAGCGGTGACGATATGACGTCACCGAACCGGTTCTGCCCCCCCCTGCCCTCTCAGCCCCCCACTCACCCACGTTATTCTTACCTTTTATTTGGTCCCACCCCCAATCTATTGCTGCCTTCTGAGTCCCAGCTGATGACTAGAGGGAAAAAAACTGTTTAAACTCTTGCCGCGGGGCCGTCCTACAGCTGATCAGTGTTAAAAGCAAACAAATGAGTCAGGTCCTAAGTGCGAGGACTGGTCGTAAGTGCGAGGACCTTCCAGAAATGACTGACCAGCTAGCTACGCCCACCTAGTCACATGACTTCCAAGCCACACCCACAAAATAAGCCACGCCCATAGAACCGGTAGTAAAAAAATTTAGAACCCACCCCTGGAGGTGGGGGCACTGCTCTAGATGAACTTCTTCTTTCTTTCGCCTTGCAGCATTCTGTGGTGCGCAATGCTTTGTTTTGCCTGGAGACCGCATACCAGCAGAAAGAGCTCCCCGTCTACACCCAGGCCTTGTTCGGATATGCTTTTGCTTTGGCACACAAAGAAGATAAAGTGGCAGCAATACTGGAGAGTCTTCAGGGAAAAGCCGTGAAAGGAGGTGAGAAAAATACTGGTGGGAGAAGTGAGTGGATTTACTGAGAGAACCACCGGCCCAAGTGTTGGGCCAAGACAGGGGTGAAATGCTCCCGGTTCGGACCGGATCACCCGATTCGGTAGCGATGGAGGCGGGGGGTTTGGAGAACCGGTTGCAAAAATCCCTGCCCCTCCCCCCCCACCCCACGCCCAGCTGAGCCGCGCAATCATCAGAGGCTTTTTTAAAATTATTTTTAAAAGCATTTTTTCTACAACCTCTTCGGCCGAAAAAATGCTTTTAAAAGTTAAAAAAAAAAAAAAGCCTCTGATGGTCATGCGGCTCAGCTGGGATCGTCAGAGGCTTTTAAAAGCATTTTTTCTGCAACCTCTTCGGCCGAAGAGGTTGTAGAAAAAATGGTTTTAAAAATAATAATAATAACAATAAAAATTGGCCACAACCACCCAGTCACATTGCCACCACCCCACCAAACCACGCTCACAGAACCAATAGTAACAAATTTTACATTTCACCACTGGGCCAAGAGGACGTTTGTCCATCCATGAGATGCAGGTGACTTTGTTTTCTTACAGGTAGTCCTCGACTTAACGACCGTAATTGAGCCCAAAATTTCTGTTACTAAGTTAAACGTGTCCCATTTTATGACCTTTCTTGCTACAGTTTATTTTATTTTATTTAGAAAATGTATATTGCTGCCTGACTCGCACATGGCGACTCAGGGCAGCTGACAGAAATATAAGAACACCATATAAAAGAAATGAAAATAATAATAAAAAGAAAAATAATAAAATAATAAACCTCCACCCCCACCCCTCACCCCGGCGACACGTTGTTGAGTGAATCTGGCTTCCCCCGTTCACTTTCCTTGTCAGGAAGGTCGCAAAAGAGGATCGCATAACCCAGGGGACATCGCAACCGTCGTAAATATGAGTCAATTGCCAAATGCCCAAATTTTGACCATGTGACCATGGGGATGCTGTTGCAACAATGGTCATATGAGTGCAAAACGGTCATGTAATTTTTTGGAGTGCTGTTCTAACTTCAAATGGTCACTAAATGAACGGTTGTAACTCAAGGACCACCTGTGTATTCGTATACCTCTTGATGCGTCACATTGTTTCAGTGCAGAGGTCTTTATACCGCTAGTCCTCCACTTAACGACCACACCTCAGCCCCAAATTTAGGTTGCTAAGCGAGCAATTGGTTAAGGGAGTTTTGTCCCATTTTAAGTGAATCACTGCAGTTCTTGAATTAGCAACACGGTTGTTGAGTGAATCCAATTTCCCCATCGACTTTGCTTGTCAGAAGGTCGATAAAGGGGATCACATAACCCCGGGACACTGCAACCCGTCATAAATAGAAACCCGTTGGCAAGCATCTGAATTTTGATCACATCATGCTGGAAAGGTCATAAATGTGGAAAATGGTCATAAATGGCTGACCGGCCACTATGTGAACTGTTGCAAGTCGAGGGCTCCTGTAACCGTGTTTGGATGGATGTTTGGATGGATGATCTGAATCCAAAGACTTATAACACTTCTTTCTTTTTGGCCCCAAAGACGACGGCACCCTTCACTGGGAGAGGCCCGTGAAGACAGAGGCAAAACAGCCTTCCTACTATCAGCCTCTTGCTCCTTCCGCCGAGGTGGAAATGACCTCCTACGTGCTCCTGACTTGCCTGAACAGGCATCCAGCAATAGCCATCCTTGCCAAGGACAATCTGGAAATGATCACCAAGATTGTGAGATGGCTTACCAGACAACAGAATCCTTCCGGAGGATTCTCTTCCACGCAGGTTGGTGGCTCCCGTCCGTGCGTTGGAAGCCAGGAGTGTTTTGGGTTGGGAGAAGAAGACTTTCTGTCAGAGAGATAGGGTTTTAAGCTGGGTTGCAAAACTACACCAGGACAGGGAGTCCTCAACTCTACAACCCCAATCAAACCCACAATTTCTGTTGCTAAGTTTTGCGCCCCGTTTTACAACCTTTCTTGCCACGTTTGTTAAGTGAATTGCTGTAGTCGTTAAGTTAGTCACCTGGCTGTTAAGCGAATTTGCTTTCCCCACGGGGTTTGCTTGTCAGGCGGTCGCCAAAGGGGATGGCGCGACCCAGGGACACTGCGTCCGTCATAAACATGAATCGGCGGTCCAGCATCCGACGGTAAATTACGTGATCATAAGGATGCTGCATCGGTCGTTAAGTCTGAAAAATGGTCGTAAGTCGCGTTTTTCAGCGCCATTGTCATTTTGAACGCTATTTTTCAAAGCACGAGAGGGCCAGATGAGAAGCAATGGGTGGAAACTAATCAAGGAGAGAAGCAACCTAGAACTAAGGAGAAATTTCCTGACAGTGAGAACAATTAATCAGTGGAACAATTTGCCTCCAGAATGTCAAGTTTCAAGGTCGTCTCAAATAAATTGCATTTCAAACAAAGTCTTTGAAAAAAAAAACTCCTATTTATTAAGCACGACATTGTAACCTGACTCCAAACGAAGCCAACACTGACTTCCAGCCCCCAAACCCTCCCTTTCCGTTCCCTACTCCCCTACACTCATTGGCCATCTTCCAAGTCATTCTACCCCTAATCTACTCCAGCTCAAAGGAATTCCCCCCCTCCCATCTCATCTCCTAGGGGATATTATCTCCAGGGAAAATAAGTAGGTGAAAAGTCAAACGTCCCTTTCCAGACGCCTTCGCTTCTCCTTCTTATGTCAGCACTAGAGTAAATGCAGGTTGAAGTGCTGACACAGAAGTTGTGCTGGAAACCAGAAGAGGAGCTGGCGACAGAGCGCGTGTCCACAGAGACGGCTCTGGTTAGCCATCACGGGTATAGGATCTCCTGCTTGATCAGGGGGTTGGACTAGAAGACCTCGAAGGTCCCTTCCAGCTCTATTCTGATTGATTGATATTCTCCAAGGCACCAGAAGCAACGGATGAAAGCTAATCAAGGAGAGAAGCAAGACGATGGTTAAACATCTGATTTTAGCACCTAGTAGCACCTAGAACTAAGGAGAAATTTCCTGACAGTCACAACAATTAAACAGTAGAACAGCTTTGCCTTCTGAGCTTGTAGGGATTCCATCACTGGAGGCTTTTAAAAAGAGACTGGGCAGCCATTTGTATGAAATGGTATATAGGATCTCCTTTTTGAGCAGGGGGTTGGACTAGAAGACCTCCAAGGTCCCTTCCAGCTCTGTTATTCCTTTCTCATCCTCTCATGGACTCACATGGATGTGAAGAAAACATTGAAATCCACTTCTGGCTTCCTACCAGTGGTTGGTTCCTCCCGGTTTGGTCCGGTTCGGCTGAGCCGGTAGCGGTGATGATATGACGTCACCGAACCGGTTCTCCCCCCACTGCCCTCCCACCCCCTGACCCCCCCACCTTATTCTTACCTTTTATTTGGTCCCACCCCCAATCTATTGCTGCCTCCTGAGTCCCAGCTGATGACTAGAGGGAAAAAAACTGTTTAAACTCTTGCCGCGGGGCTTCAAAGGGCCGTCCTACAGCTAATCAGTGTTAAAAGCAAACAAATGAGTCGGGTCGTAAGTGCGAGGACTGGCCGTAAGTGCGAGGACCTTCCAGAAATGACTCTGACCGGCTAGCCACGCCCACCTAGTCACGTGACCTCCAAGCCACGCCCACAAAATAAGCCACGCCCACAGAACCGGTAGTAAAAAAAATTAGAACCCACCCCTGCTTCCTACCATTGCAATAAGAACGATTTGGGGACCCGGGTGTCATATTTGGGGGAAAAAAATCTCCCTCACCTCTCAATCTCTCCTTGCAGGACACCGTCGTGGCCCTCCATGCCCTCTCCTTGTACGCAGCTATGACTTTCTCCAAGAATACAGCAGGCAGCAAAGTGGCCTTGAAGTCGGGTGGGAACAACGTGAAGGAATTCCATGTGGACAACGCCAACAGGCTCCTGTTTCAATGCGAGGCCCTGCCCAGCGTGCCTGGAGAGTATGCAGCAGTTGTGACTGGGGAAAGTTGCATCTACGTGCAGGTGAGGTTCCCAGGGATCCTTGGGAGAGAAATGGCAGTGACAGCATGCAGGCGATTACCGTTGTGGGTCAATTTAATATATTTTAAATATGCTGGCTAGGAGCATGGCTTCCATGCTTATAGGCAGCATATTTCTTCAGGGAAACAAAATAGAATAGCAATAGCACTTACAGGTAGACTTATATACCGCCCCACAGTGCTTTATAACATTCTCTGGGAGGTTTACAGAATCAGCATATTGCTCCCCCAACCATCTGGGACCTCATTTTTACCGACCTCAGACGGATGAAAGGCTGAGTCAATCTTGAGCTGGTCAGAATCGAACTCTTGACAGTCAGCAGAATTATTTATTTATTATTTATTTATTTATTTATTTTATTTCTATATCGCCCTTCTCCCGAAGGACTCAGGCTGATTGTACAGCCTGATTAAAAGCACAAAGACAGACAAAATTTAAAAATAATTAAAATTATTAAATGATAGGCCCAATTTATAAAACCCCAAATTTAAAATCCCATTTAAAACCAATTAAAATCTTTACATTGATAGCCCAGCCTGGCGGAACAACAAGGTTTTGAGGGCACAGCGAAATACACGGAGATCAGAGATTTTACGCACTTCCAGGGGCAGTTCATTCCACAGGGCTGGGGCTCCCACAGAGAAGGCCCTCCCCCTGGGTGTTGCCAGCCGACATAATTTGGCCGATGGCACCCTGAGGGGACCCTCTCTGTGGGAGCGAACTGGCCGGTGGGAGGCTACTGGTGGCAGAAGACGGTCTCGAAGGTATCCAGGTCCAATGTCATGGAGCGCTTTAAAGGTGGTGACCAACACCTTGAATCACACCCGGAAGACCACTGGGAGCCAGTGCAGCTCGCGCACGAGGGGTGTCACGTGGGCACAACGAGTTGCGCCCATAACCACCCGCGCGGCCGCATTCTGGATCAGTTGGAGCCTCTGGGTGCTTGTCAAGGGGAGCCCCATGTAGAGAGCATTGCAGTAGTCCAGTCAGGAGGTGACAAGGGCGTGAGTGACTGTGCGCAAGGCGTCGCGATTAGCCTGCAATACTGCATTCTAACCACTGCGCCATCAGGGCTCATCAAATGGGATGCACAAAGAACATTCATGAATGGAAAGACATTGAAAAAATTGGGATTTTTTTTAATTAAATAGGCCTTTAGCCAGGGGTGTGGGATTCAGCCGGTTCGGAACAGTTCGGGCGTACCGGTAGCTCTGATGATCAGCTGGGGGCGAACCAGTTTGCTCTGATGATCAGGGGGGGGGCCTACCTACCCACCCCTGCGCGCTTTACTTACCTTTATCCTCTCAGCTGATTCACACAGCACAGTGGGTTGCCGCGCCTCAACTGTGTTACTCCCCAGAAGTAACGCAGAAGTTTAGTTTTCTTAAAACTGTGCACGTGTGCGAAACACACAGTCACTGAACCAGTTGTTAAACCGGCAGGATCCCACCACTGCCTTTAGCTGTTCGTTAAAAAGATAACAAGTTTGGTATCAGGTGAGCCTCTCCGGGGTGGGATTTAAACACATGCTCCACTACTGAGAAGATTTGGCTCCCTCTCCTAAACACCTGACTTAGTAGAGGAACTTGGATGAGAGCGTCCAAAGATGATCCCAGTTTATAGTCAGTGAGTAACTCTCCTCTTCTGAGATGAACGTCACTCCCTTCAAAATGTAGGAAGCCATCCCTGCTACCTCAGGAGGCTCTCTGACCTTTGTGAGTGAGGTGGACATGGGGTTGAGGCTATGTTCATTGGCCGGAGAGAGAAAATCTGTTCCCACTTTAGACTTTGAAGTGCTGTGAAAGAATCTCAAAGGTGCTTTTTCAAAAGGCAACTGGGCCTTTCTTGGTTTTTTTCCTTGAAGACGTTTTGCTTCTCGTCCAAGAAGCTTCTTCAGTTCTGACTGAATAGTGGAAGAGGGAAGGGTTGATATTCCCTGCAGTCATCTGGTCTTTAACACTCTTTCTGAGAGGCCTTGAGGCCTTTCAGCAGTTCCAAGAAGGCTCCACACCCATTTGCACTATTCAGGTGACCCTGAGGGCACAGATAAATCTCCAAGTGGCCTCAACGGCTCTCTAAAAGAATGCAAAATACCAGCTGTCTGCAAGCAGTATCAACCCTTCCATCCTCCATCATTTAGTATTGAAGAAGCTTCTTGGATGAGAAGCAAAACGTCTTCAAGGAAAAACAAAGTTCAGTTGTCTTTTGAAAAAGCACCTTTGGGACAACCGTGACCTGGATGATGGAGAGTCTCCATAGACACGCAGAGTAAAAGGAACCACAGAGTAACATGGTCCTATAAGGAGAGAAAGACCTGGAACAGCTTCGAACAGAAGAAGGGTGGTAACCAAGGAAACGGAAAGGAGAAAAGTCTAGGCCTTGTGTAATTAAGAAGGCCCAAGACTCCATCCTTGCATTTCTAGCATGACAAGGTAATACTGAAGAGCTGCTGCTAATCGGGCAATAGTGCTGAGCTCAGTCTGTCGTTCTAAGGTTGTGTTCTTCTCCTGTGTTCTCCTGTGGACCCACATCTCCTTCTCTGATTGGCTTGCCAGAAGAAAGCATCTTTCAACAGAGAGGAAGAACTGCGGCTCTTCTGTTAGGTGCACCCTCCAGAAGTGTCAGCCTTCAGCTTCTATTGGCAAACTTGGCTGATAATATTGGAAGCTGGAGGCCAACGCATCTGTAGGACACCAGAACGGGAGAAGGCTGAGCAACGTGGATCTAGGAAATGATACCACCCCCCCATGAGTCCAGGGTTGGTGGAGGGGTCTTAGATTTTGTCAGAGTTTCTTGCAAAAATCAAATCCAGAAGCACACGCAGATAACTGATTCAGCAGGATTCATTAACTTCTCTTTATATATATAATAACAGATGAAGTAAATTTTACAATACCCATATAGATTCTTCTTCAACGTAGTAGCAGTTACAACACAAGCAAACACAGGCAGGAGAGAACAGTTAGTTTCATTTCAGCAGAGCAGACAAGCACACAGACTGCTTAGTTTCAGTTTCAATTCTCTGCACAGACTCAGAAGCTGCAGACTAAGACACGCCCTGGCTCCAGTCTGCCTCAGCTCCCAATTGGCCCTCATTGGCTGACTTAGTTGCTATGCCTATTCATTGGCTGATCTATTCCATTTTATGAATATACATACTCTGACAGATTTCCTTGAGAGCAGCAGAAAATCTGCATTGCCTAGACTGGCTAATTCACCAATAAAGATGACCCATTAACAAAATATTCCCTCCTCAGACCACCTTGAAGTACAATGTGCTCCCCCACCCAGAAGATGATCCATTTGCACTGATTGTCAACACAATTCCCGAAACGTGTGTTGGGGTCAAGGCTCACAAGGAGTTCAACATTGCAATAAACGTCAGGTAATTCTCTCTTCAATAGGTCACAGCCGAAGGGGAACTGGCTGCCATTCAAGGGATGCCATGGTGCTAGATCAGTGTTTCTCAACCTTGGGAACTTTAAGATGTGTGGACTTCAGTTCTCAAAATTCCCCAGCCAGGCTGGCTGGGGAATTCTGGGAGTTGAAGTCCACACATCTTAAAGTTCCCAAGGTTGAGAAACACTGTGCTAGATGGTATCTGTCAACTTGCAAAGCTTTCAAGTTGCCATGAGCAGGAGGGAGGGAGAACTGATAGAGCTGATTGATTTCCCTAACTGAAGTGCATTCCATACATTCTTCCTGACCGCAATCAGAAGGAGGGTGTTGGATTTCACAGCCAGCCAAAGTGGTTAATTGGAGAATGTGATTTATGACATGGCCCGAGAGGAGGGGAGAGACAGGGTCATAGGGGAACGTAAATCTACGTGGGATTAATTCTAACTGCATCCGAATATTGCCGAAATGGTGCTCCTAATAAATGACTGTATTTCTTTTGAAGTTCAGCTCATGGCTCATGAATTAATTAGGGCATCTTTCGGAAACTTCACAGTATCTTTGGTTCTGAAGAACCATTTTGCCTCCTGGCAGCCTTGGTTCATTTAACTTGCTAATCTAATCCAAAACAAATGTGATTTGTTTGTGGTCTCATATATCGTGAGGAATCTAATACAGGTAGTCCCCGACTTACAACAGTTCATTTAGCAGCCATTCCAATGAAAAAAAAGTAACTTATGACCATGTTTCACAGTTACAACCTGTGTAGTATCTCCACGATCACGGGATCAAAATTCAGATGCTTGGCCACTGGTTCACATTTACAACCATTGCTGTGTCCCGGGATCAGATGATCACCTTTTGTGACCGTCTGACGAACGAAATCAATGGGGAATCCAGATTCACTGAATAATCGGGCTACAAACTTATCAATTGCAGTCATTCACTTAACAACTATGGCAAGAAAGGTCTAAAGGACTAATTTAACCACTGCAGGGATTCATTTTACTGTGGCAAGGATGTTGGTTAAATGAGACAAAACTCACTTAACGAAAGTCTCACTTAACAACAGAAATTTTGGGCTTAGTTGTGGTCGTACGTCGAGGACTACCTGTAACATCTTAGCAAGTTGTGTGAACTATTAAGTAATGATATGGCTTATTTATTTGGGTATAACAGTGGCCCCCAACCTTTTGGGCATCAGGAACCCGTTCCGTGGAGAGAGGTTTTTCTGCGGACTGAAGAGGGCACAGTTTTGTGTGCTGCCTGCATCCCGCAGATGGTTGCTGGCATATCACGGCCCGGTGCTGGTCCAGATAAATTACCCATCAACAGACACACAGAGATAAATTCTGTTTACATACCATTTAAAAGATACAATTCAAAGTCTAGGAAGCAAACAGCCTAGAAAACATACCTTCCAGCATCTATCATGTAGATAAGCAGGGAACAGCACCAGAGAAACAATAAGAGGAAACAACACTCTGATAAAGGAGACATCAAAGAGGAAGCCACACTCCTCTCAAGACGGGCAGGACTGACTTCCACACAGAAACTACCAACATACTTCTCTCCCCTCTGCACTGATGATGTTGCTTACTATGGTCATGAAATGTCAGCAGGAAAACACCAAATTGAAAGAGCATAAATTGAACCCAACTGAACAAATTTCATGTTCCAACCAGAGACTAAAACTGGATCTTCTTGGTAGAAACCCCAGTGGGTGATTATGGGATCAGGAATTAAAAACCCCACAACCACCTTACCCGGGACTGACATTGTTTCTTTTCCCTCTTGTTTGTCCAGTTACATCGGCCAGCGTCCAGCCTCCAACATGGCGATTATTAATATCAAGATGGTCTCTGGATTTGCACCAAATAAGCCATCTGTGAAAAAGGTAATTGGACAGTTTTTATATTAGGCTTCTTCTTCAAATAATCATTGATCTCTCCTGACTAAGGCACACCGAAGAATTAGCTGTGGATGGCATTTGGCCACCATCCAAGATTTATAGCCGAGATGTTGAAATAGAGTCTCTCTGTGTGTGGGGAGAGGAAGGAATGGGGAATGGAAATGTGCCTCACATTGCTTTAAGATGGGCCATGCCCTCCATGGCAGTGTCAAATGTCCCAACTTGGTCAGTTAGAAAAGAAAGATTCTTGGATCCACCGTTAGCCAAAAATATAGTTTATTAAAACCATGTGGTTACAGAAGAAGCAAAGCTGGATCTGGAGGTTTTGCACCCAAAGCATACAGTTAATTTTCCCTTGTTTCCATCCACCCCCCCCCCCCCCCCCCCGGTTATCATCGAGTATCCAATTAGGTGATAAATTATTTGGGTAACAGTCCCCGTCTTCACGGGCTGGATGGTTCTGGATTCCGTAGTGTGGCCTTGGAATGGCGGGCGGTTCTCATGGAATGGCACAATTCATGGTTTCATGTCTCCCAGGCTTTGCTGTTGTTAGTTGTGAAGTTGTGTCTGACTCATTGCGACCCCATGGACAACGTTCCTCCAGGCCTTCCTGTCCTCTACCATCCTCTGGAGTCCATTTAAGCTCACGCCTGCTGCTTCAGTGACTCCATCCAGCCACCTCATTCTCTGTCGTCCCCTTTTTCTTTTGCCCTCAATCTTTCCCAGCATTAGGCTCTTCTCCAGTGAGTCCTTCCTTCTCATTAGGTGGCCAAAGTATCTGAGTTTCATCTTCAGGATCTGGCCTTCTAAAGAGCAGTCGGGTTAGCCCCTCCCTTTAACCCACTCCGCCAATCTTCCCCCACACCCGTTGCTTATGACAGGCTGACAACAGGCAATGCAGAGCGTAGCAGGATGGCAGCCCTCCATGGCAGCCGTTTCGGGAGAACGACCGCAGCATACTTTCCGAAATTGCAAATGTGCCCATGATCCAAAGATCTCCTCTCCTGGTCAAGGGCACTTCCATCTTTCCAAAACGCATGGCCGGGATCTCCTTCCAAAGCTTCAGCTGACAACATCTGATGGTGGATTGATGCCCCTGATTCCTAATAATGAAGAAATCTCTGTTTTTTTTTTATTGCAGCTGGAAAAGCAGGCTCCGATTCAGCGGGTAGATATAACAGCCACTAACGTGGTGCTGTATTTGGAGAAGGTAAGTGCAGAAACCACAATAAGGGAACGGGCGAGCTATAGGAACGCCAATAAAGAGAGGGAGGTGATCGGATTTTGCCTTCCGAATCTTCCCATGGTTCACGAAAACACTAATGTTCCACATGAAGGCAGAGTCATAAAAAGGAAAAGGGAATTACCAGTATTCCTTGACTTACAATAGTTTGCTTAGGGACTGTTGGAAGTTACAGTGGCACTGAAAAAAGTGGCTTAGGACCGTTTTTCTCACAACTCTTCCAGCATCCCTGCGGTCATGTGATCAAAATCCAGACACTTGGCAACTGGTTCATATTTATGACGGTTGCAGTGTCCAGGAACGTCAATGGGGAAACCAGATTCACTTAATCACCATGTTACTCATTTAACAACAGCAGTTGATTCATTTAACAAAGATGGCGAGAAAAGTCGTAAAACGGGGCAAAACCCACTTAACAAATTTCTCATTTCGCAACATAAACCTCGGGCTCAATTGTAGTCGTAAGTTGAGGACTACCTGTACTTCCCTGAAATATTTGTAGAAAAGGTAGAATAATAATAGTACTCAGCCATCGGGTGCTGTCCAGATATTTTGGACTTCTATTCCTCAACCCGACTTTACAATATTTTTTTGTGACGGTCATTAAGCAAATGTCGTAGTGCTTCAGCAAATCTATTTTCCCCAATGGGCATTTTTTGCTGGAAACCAGAAATAAAAATTGAAAACTGGCAAAAAATGCTGCAAATTTATTTATTTTATTTATTTTATTCAATTTGTATCCCGCCCTTCTCCCAGTGGACTCAGGGCGGTGCACAGCCAGAACTAAAACACATACCAATACAAAATTTAAATTTTTTAAAAGAATTATATAACTTTGGCCCAAAATTTAAAACATTCAAACTAAAACCCATTGACAATTTAAAAGGCTAAAAAAAAAAGGGGGGGGGGTTCACGCCAGCCCTGCTTGATGGAAAAAAAAGTTTTTAGGGCACGGCGAAAGACCCGGAGATCTGATATCCTTCGTATCTCCGGGGGCAAATGGTTCCAGAGGGCAGGAGCTGCCACAGAGAAGGCCCTCCCCCTGGGGGTCGCCAGCCGACATTGCCTGGCTAACGGCACCCTGAGGAGTTCCTCTCTGTGGGAGCGTACTGGTCGGCGTACACAGTCACCTGACCGTGGGACACTGCAACCATGGCGGCCTGATTACCCAATGCCCAAAATGCAATCACATGACTGGAGGGGGGGGGCAGGAATGCAGCCATAATTTTGAAAACGAGTCGTAAGGAACTCTGGGGAAGGATCCGTCCTACTTGTAAATGCCATCAGATTTCTTCACTTGCTACAGTCTTTTTGTAGCCACTGATGGACATAAAATACCTTCTCTAAGTCACATATATGTTGCAAAGGTACAAAGGAGCAAATACATTGAAAATCTGCAGATTGATCTTATCTAAACCTCAGATAATCTGAACTTCTTGTCTGCAGCTGACCAATGCCACCGAGCATATCTCTTTCATGGTGGAACGAAACTTTGAGATCCAGAATCAGAGGCCAGCCTTTGTGGAGGTGTTCGACTATTACGTGGGTAAGCACAGAATATGCGGCTGTTGGTTCCGAAATCGATCCCGCACCACAGCCAACCCTATCCCCACGAGGCCTCCAAAGCCAAACCTTGAACAATGGTTAAAGAACAGCTCACATCCCTTTGGGATGTAGGGGAAAGCGCAATTGATATTAACTGTAGTTTCCTTCATGTTTCCAGCTGAATCGGCAGAGGTTTCATACAGCGCCCCCTGCAGCACAGGTACAGTATGAACTCCTTTTGGATTCTACTACCCTCTTCCACCTTCTTTCTTTTTTTCTATGAGTGGAAAATTCTAAACACGGCCAACGTCAATGTTTATTCTCTTGAATAAAATATTATTCCCCAAACCCGTCTTTGGATTTATGCCAGAGGCCCCCAAACTTGGGTGAACTTCAACTCCCAGAATTCCTTCAGCCATCCTCACAACTTGTGAACTTCACACAACTTGCGTGAACATCCACACAGCTTGTGAACTTCAGCTCCCAGAATTCCTCCAGCCATCCTCAGCCTCAACAACTTTAAGATGTGTGGACTTGAATTCCCGACAGCAGAAGTCCACACTTTTTAAAAATTGCTAAGATGGAGAAACCACTGCTTTAGATTGTCTGCAGCTTTGAAATTCATTGCTTCAAAAGGTGTTCAGAAAAGTATGCAGAAGTGAGGTTGACTTCATCTAGCCCAGGGGACGGCAACCTTAAACACTCAAAGAGCCATTTGGACCCATTTCCCACAGAAAAGAAAACACCAGGAGCCACAAAACCCCTCCCATGCTTGACTATTTCCTGAGCGGCCACATAGTTGAGTTAAATGTTCTTTTTTCTTCTGAAACTTTTCTTTTCTTGGGATTTATCCATGGTTGGCCTACCGGGGGTCGAAAAGCTTAATAAATTGCGTGCTGGGGGTGTCACACATTGGCGGTTGTGACACATATTTTGAGTGATAGGGAGCCGCAGCAGAGGAATGAAAGGGCCACATGCGGCTCCAGAGCCGCAGGTTGCTGACCCCTGACCTAGCCCCAATGTGATTACTTTGAACATGGCTCAAAGTTTATAAGTTATACACTTGTTTATCAGTTATATAAGTTTTATATAAGTTTTATAAGTTATTGTTCATAATTTACATTAATATGTGAAGCTAGCCTCCGATTTATTCAGGAACTACACTTAAATCAGGTCCTTGTGCAATGTATCACCTTAAAAATTAGAAGGGGAAAAGGCTAATTCAGCTCCTTTCTACAATTGTTCAAATGTGTTGGGTTTCCATTTCTTTCACATGCTAGCTGAGTATGACATACTGAATACGATAAATACAGATGTATTTGGAGAGGACAGGTTTCAATCATAGCCACTCCCATCCGATTTCTGTTTAACTAGTCCAGCAAGGAGGATGTGAAATTCACCTTACGTGATAAATCATCCTAAGAGGAGAAGCATGTTTGGCTTGGAGAAAAGGTTCAACACCCAAACTTCTTTGTCCGTCTTCGGTTGAATGCTTGGCTTATTGATGTTTTGATGGCCATTTCTCTCCCACAGCTAACGTTGGGAATGCATGAAGAACAGAATAGCTCTCCACCATCTCAAGTCAGTCCCACTGCTGCTTTCCCTGATGAGAAAACAAGAAGCAGAAAACAGCCACCCAAAGACCCAAGAAGAAGAAACCAGGTGCCCTCTGGGTGCCTTAAACTACCGCTTTATGAGCCCCAAGGAATTCGAGACACGCCACTGGCTTCACCTTCTCTCCATTTGGGTCTCGAAAAAGAAACATCTGGCATTTGCTGTTGTCTTCTCTGATGGTGTAAAGAACGAAACAAATAAATAAATGTTTTGGAGTCCATCAGCTGTGGTTTGAATCTATCTCTAACTTGAGTTTCCCCAATAGAAACGGGCTCACTGGTGATATTAAGGGTGAAAAATGCAACATCTCCAGAGGTTCCAAGACTGGAGGAGATTGTTCAACCTGATTTGATTTGACTGGTTGGTAAAACCCGTTTTGTTCCAATGGATTGTCCTTACTTAGTCAAACCCAAAACTCGGGTTCCTGAATGGGCAAAAGTGGAGGAAGCGGTAGACCAAACCACTTCACAGAAAATAGATCATCTGGATAGTTTGCCTCCACCTTGTAGGTTACCCAAGGACCTGTAGGAAAGCTACTTCGATTATTTAGCAGCTATCCAAAACAGTGTTTTGTAACCTTGGCAATTTTCAATTCCCAGAATTCTCCAGCCAGCAATTTCAGAGGGGTTCCACCCACGTTAAAGCATGCTGGCTGGGGAAGTCTGGGAATTGAAGTTCCCACGTGCCCAAGTTGCCAAAGTTGAAAGTTGGGCGGCATAGAAATGCGACAAAATTAATTAATTAATTAATTAACACTGATCTAAATTGAAAGGGAAAAAATCCTCTTTTCTACTGCCTGCTGTCCTGCTAGATACCACCTGACAGAGAAAAACACACCATCTCTGTTTCAACAGGTTTAGGCAATCTGCTGCCTTACTGACATTTTTAGGCCCCTTCATTCCTGTCCATCAATCAGTGTGTCTATGTGAGGATGTGGCATGGGGGGTAGGAAAACTGACACCCAAAGTCTCTGGAGGGCAACAAGTTCATTGTCTCGCTCTTTCAAATTACCTTTTTAATGTCCTGTGTCCCCCCCCCCACCCCCCACCCCAGTGGAATTTTGATCATCAATCTGCGTGGCATCAGCAGTATCATCTCTAGGAAAATAAACTCCAGGATCATTGGAATGAATCCTGGACCAGTCAATATCTTCTTCAAAATTAGCAGATTGGGAAATCACAATTACATTTTTAGAGTCAATAAATCTGCTCCATTTTGAGTTATCATCAATACCCATAAATAGCAGTCTCTTTGCTGCTGGACTTCCTTTTCTTCTTTGAGCTAAGGGAATGTTCACCATAGCGTATGAACCAAAAATATGGGGTGGCTAAGACGCTGAGCTTGTCGATCAAAAAGGTCGGCAGTTCAGCGGTTCGAATCCCTAGTGCCTCGTAACGGGGTGAGCTCTGGTTACTTGTCCCAGCTTCTGCCAACCTAGCAGTTCGAAAGCACGGGGAACAAAAATGCAAGTAGAAAAACAGGGACCACCTTTGGTGGGAAGGTAACAGCGTTCCGTGCACCTTTGGCGTTTAGTCATGCTGGCCACATGACCACGGAGACGTCTTCGGACAGCGCTGGCTCTTCGGCTTTGAAACGGAGACGAGCACCGCCCCCTAGAGTTGGGAACAACTAGCACATATTTGTATTTGTATTTGTATTTATTAAGTTTATATGCCGCCCTCTCTCCAACAAGGACTCAGGGCGGCTCACAGCAATAAAACAAGCAAATAAGTGAATATTTAGATGTTAAAACTATTAAAATTTCCCTTTAAAAACAGTCACATTACCCCACCACCACCAAGCCACGCCCTCAGAACAGGTAGTAACCAATTTTAGATTTCACTCCTGGGCATGAGCAATAAATCAGTTTAATTGGTCCTGGTCTTTCATACCTGACAGTACTCGTCACCTTGAGACAAAACCCCATAAAAACAAGAAAACCTGGGATTAAAGCTGACACAAGTAATATTGTCATTTCATAACCAAGCCTATCATCAGGGCAAACAACTAAACAAGAATATCTGGAGAGGGTTTTTTTTTCCGAGACAGGTTGTTTATTTTGATATGCCAAGGTAAAGATAGAGTGACGCTCTGAGTTACTTACATTTTTAGCCAAACTTTCTCAACTTCGACAGCTTGAAGATGTGTGGACTTCAACTCCCAGAATGCCTGCTGGCTGGGGAATTCTGGGAATTGAAGTTCAGACTCTTAAAAGTTATTGAGACTGACACACACTACTTTAGGGTTAAGAGCATTTAAGTGAAGCTGGGGTTAGGGTCATTTTTGAGTACAATCTATTTAAAGAAAGATACTTTTTAAATAATTCAGTGCTTTTGGTATGATTATTATAAATTTTCAAACATTCTCTGGGTGCAAGGATTCTTTGTCTGGTAATTATTCTCATATTCTTTACACCAGGGTTCTCCAACCTTGGCAACGTTAAGACTTGTGGACTTCAATCAGTGGTGAAATTCACTTTTTTTTTACTACCGGTTCTGTGGGCGTGGCTTGGTGGTTGTGGCAGGGGAAGGATACTGCAAAATCTCCATTCCCACCCCACTCCAGGGGGAGGATACTGCAAAATCTCCATTCCCACCCCCCTCTGGGGCCAGCCAGAGGTGGTATTTTCCGGTTCTCCGAACTGCTCAAAATTTCTGCTATCGGTTCTCCAGAACCGGTCAGAACCAGCTGGATTTCACCCCTGACTTCAACTCTCAGAATTCCTCAGCCGGCAAGCATTCTGGAAGTTGAAGGCTACACATTTTTTTTTTTAAATTAAATTTATATACTGCCCTACTCCCGAAGGACTCAGGGTGGTGAACAGGCCCAAAATAAAATACATAAATACAAAAGTTAGAATCATAATTAAAACCAAATTAAATAATTTAGCCCAAGACAATTAAAAATCCCAATAATTTAAAACAAATTAAAATTTCAATTTAAAAATTTAAAAGAAAGGGGAGAAAATTAGGCCAGGCCGGCTTGCTGGAATAGGAGGGTCTTAAGAGCACGGCGGAAAGTACGCAGATCCGGGATCCTCCGTATCTCTGGGAGGAGCTCGTTCCAGATAGTGAGTGCCCCCACAGAGAAGGCCCTCCCCCTGGGGGCTGCCAGTCCACACTGCTCGGCTGACGGCACCCGGAGGAGCCCCTCTCTATGAGAGCGTACTGGCCGGTGGGAGGCTGTTTGTGGTAGTAGGATCTTCAAGCTGCCAAAGTAGCATGGCTGGCAGAGGAATTCTGGGAGTTGGAGTCCACAAATCTTAACGTTGCCAAGGTTGGAGTTTCCCACTTTACACCAATTCATGCTTTTTATGCACCATAACCATCTTTATCATCTCTCCCCTGTGTGAATGGTCTGGTGCTTCTTCAAATTTCCCATCTGGCTGAAGTCTTTCCCACACAGAGAACATTTGTACGGTCTCTCTCCCGTGTGTATCCTCTGATGCTTTTTTAAGTCTCCTCCCAGGTTGAAACCTTTCCCGCACTGAGAGCATTTGTAGGGTCTCTCTCCCGTGTGAGTCCTTTGATGGTTCTTCAGAAGGACCGCCTGGATGAAGCACTTCCCGCACTGCAAACATTTGTAGGGTTTCTCTCCCGTATGGATCCTCTGGTGGGTCTTTAAATTTCCCTTCTGGTTGAAGCATTTTCCGCAGTAAGAGCATTCGTACGGTTGCTCGCCGGTGTGAATGCGTTGGTGATTCTTCAGATCCCCCTTCTGGGTGAAGCATTTCCCACACTGAAAGCATTTATTGATTCTCGTTTCGGTCCTGGGGTCTTGAGTTCTTTTCAGGGGCTGCATGGAACAAAAATTCTTCCCGCTTTCAGCGCCGCTCTTCGGCTTCCAATCTGCACGGAGGTTCGGAAAGATCTTCAGGCTGCTCCCTTTCCCGTGTTCGTAGACTTCGTGGCTTCGATTCGTCGTTAGGATTTTTTCCGGTTTATTAAAAGATGAATTATGCGGCAGGTTTTCCTCTGACAAAGGGCGTATTTTGTATTCCTCCCCGGAATGTTGCATCCCAAGTTCGAATCTGTAGCGATATTTTCTGCCATAACAGGAGAACGATGGCATTTTATCCCAAGTGGGTTTTGTGGTACTTTCGAGGACGGCAGCCGTACAACTCCCGGCACGCCGAGCGCATTCGTTCTGGGTTTGGGATTCGCTTCTTCCCTTCAGTCCTTCCACGCCCGGTGCTACGTTTCCCAAATTCAACAGTGGAAGGCCCTCTTGTGCCTCTCCCGGTTTCTTTTCTCCATCCTGAATATTCTCCACTTTCACCAAACTTCTCTTTCCATTACCTACAGCGAGAAAGAATCAGAATCAGAACAGAGCTGGAAGGGACCTTAGAGGTCTTCTAGTCCAGCCCCCTGCTCACATGTGCCATAGGTGGCATGCAGAGCCTTTTCTGTGGGCAAGCGTGCCATCGCCAGCTGCTCTTCTAGTTTCCGGCATTCATATGGGCGTCAGACAGCTGGTTTTTGCGGACACCGCAGCGCCGGAAAATGGCCTGAAAACGGCCGAAAAAATGGCCAAAAAAAGGCCGTTTTCAGGCAGTTCTTTGGGCCATTTTCCAGGCAGTTTTCTGGCAGTTTTTCAGGCTGTTTTCAGGTGGTTTTTGGACTGTTTTTCGGGCCACAAACAGCTTGAAAAATGGCCTGAAGGCCCAAAAAATGCCCCGAAAAATGGCCAAAAAAAGGTTGTTTTTCAGGCTGTTTTCCGATGGTTTTTGGGCTGTTTTTTTGGGCCACAAACAGCCTGAAAAATGGCCTGAAGGCCCAAAAAATGGCCAAAAAAAGGGCTGTTTTTCAGGCTGTTTTCCGGCAGTTTTTTGGGCCGTTTTCCGGCAGTTTTTCAGGCTGTTTTCAGGTGGTTTTTGGACTGTTTTTCGGGCCACAAACAGCCTGAATCGGCCTGAAGACCCAAAAACCAGCCCCAAAATGGCCCGAAAAATGGCCAAAGCAGCCAAAAAAACCGGCCTGACAACAGCCCAAAAATCGCCCAAAAAGCAGCATACACGCTTGTGCATACCCGTTCCGGTTTGGGCACTCAGTGTCAAAAAGGTTCACCGTCACTGCCCTATACCATTTCAAACAAGTGACTGTCCAGTCTCTTCTTAAAAACCTCCAGGAATGAAGCACCCACCAATGTTCAGCCAATCGGACCAGGTGAAGCTGATCTGATTTTCTGGCACCGAGGAAAAAATTCTTACCCAAACTGCCAGCGTTCCCACGATCCTCTTGGAGGACTTTCCAAGCGAAAGTCTCTTGGCTCGGCTGGGTCAGGTGTCTCTGGACGATTTGCAAAGACGCAACCATCTGGGGTGGTTCTGTACAACTCTGCAACAGAAAAAGACACAGGTACCTTGTAGACTCGTTTGGTGACCGTTCAAAGTTAGTGTTGTGGCCCGTCAGCGGCCTGTGCAGATTGTAGCTGATTCTGACAACGAGGAGGCTGGTGTGGTGCTGCGCCAGCAGCCTGTGCAGCTGGCGCTCGAGTCGGACAGTGAGGAGGCTGGAGAAGATGTGGTGCCAGAGGCAGGGATTCAGCCAGGGCCTTTAGAACCTCCAGAGGCTCCTTTAAGTGAAGAGTATGAAGAGGAGGAGCCTTTTCTCAATGCACGGGCACGGAGAGCTGCCAAAAGGCAGGAGTGGTTCCCCAGGAGGAGGTCTCCTCAAGAGTAAAGTTTGGGGCTAATTGGCTACTCCCTTAGCCTATTTAAGGAGGAACACTGATTGCAGCAAGCTGTAGGGAACAACTTTAGTTCGCTCTCCTTCACGTTTGGATTCTCTGCAACATTGCTTCTGGGCTGCCAACTCTAGTAAGACTGATTACCTTATCTTAGAATTCTGGTAGGCTGTTAAGACAGTTCATTAACAGCCTTTGAATGATAAAGACTAAGTTATTTGAGTAAAATAAGCTTTGTATAGAGTTTGTGTGTGCTGCGTTCTTTGGGGTCCGTAGCTGGAGCAGAACAGTTACAATGTCACTGAAGAAAGAGACTTATGACCATTTTTTCACACTTAGGACCCTTTCAGCCTCCCCACGGTCACGTGATTTACATTTGGATGCTTGACAACTGACTCATATTTACGACGATCGTAGTATCCCGGGGTCACGTGATCTTCTTTTGCAACTTTCTGACAAGCGAAGTCAATGGGGAAGCCAGATTCTCTTAACAACGGTGCGAGTAATTTAACAACTGCTGTGATTCACTTAACACATGTGGCAAGGAAAAGCAGGGCAAAAAGTAATTTAACAAATTTCTCACTTAACATAAATTTTGGGCTCAATTGGGATCGTACGTTGAGGACTACTTGTAATCCTTGAGTTATGGTCATAAAAGAGTTGTTAAGCCACAACAGTCATAAAACAGATCAGTCACGCGACTGACCTGATTTTTACGTTTTCTGCAGCGTTCATTAAGCAAACCAGTGGTTGCTAAAGAACTTTATAACTTTGAACAGTCACTAAGCAAACTGTTCTAAATTGAGGACTACCTGTACTAATTTAACAACTGAAGTGATTCACTTAACAACTGTGGCAAGAAAGGTTGTAAAATGGGGCTAAACTCAACAAATGTTTCATTTAGCAACAACAATTTTGGCCTCAATTGTGGTGTGATACCACAAGGACTACCTGTATAAAATTTTGGACAGCAATGAACTAGACTTCAAATCCTCATTGATGAGTGAATTTGTGAGTCAGGAGCCTCTCCAAATATCTGAACTGTTTTCTCTTAGTTTCCTTCCTTTTTTTATCAGAGAAGAAAACCAAAACATTGATGTGCTCTTAATTTTGAGAAAGATACAGCTGCTTTAATGAGCCGCAGGTAGATACCGTATTTTTCGGACTATAAGATGCTCTGAAGTATAAAGCGCCCCTAGCTTTTGGGGAGGAAAACAAGAAAAAAAAATCTGCATCTGCCTCTGCCTCCCAGCAATTTGCCTCCTTGCAGCAAACAGCAAACAATGTGGTCAGCTTCAGCACAGCCTGATTTAGCATGAGCAGCTAACTGGCAGTTGGATCTGCCTCCCGGAATACCTCCTATCAGCTGTTCCAGGCTGCAGAGATCACCGCCCCCATCACCGCTGTCGCCACCCATCACCACTGCCACCTATCACCGTCTCCACGCATCCCGTTTTCAGCCTCCGCACATCCTGTTTTCAGCCTCCGCGCATCCTGTTTTTGACCTCCGCACGCCCCATTTTTGGCCTGTTCTAGGTGGCAGGGATAGGTGGCGATCCCCGCCACCTGGAACGGGCCGAAAATGGGTCGCGTGGAGTCTGAAAACAGGATGCATGGCGGCAATAGGTGGCAGCAGCAATGGGTGGCGACAGGTGGCAGCAATCCCCGCAGTCTGGAAGAGCTGATAGGAGGTATTCCAGGAGGCAGATCCAACCTTGCTCGTGCTAAATCAGGCTGTGCTGAAGCTGACCATGCTGTTTGCTGTTTGCTGCAAGGAGGCAAATGGCTAGGAGGCAGTGACAGAAGGGTGGGGGCCGGTGGGTGGGCGGAGCTTCGACAACATTCGCTGTATAAGACGCACAGACATTTCCACCCATTTTGGGAGGGGGGAGGTCAGAGGGGGGGTTCTAAAAATTTTTTTACTACCAGTTCTGTGGGCGTGGCTTATTTTGTGGGCATGGCTTGGTGAGGGTAATGGGACTGAGTGGGCGTGGACAACTTTTTTTTTTTTTTTACTTTTAAAAGCATTTTTTTCTACAACCTTAAGAGGTTGCAGAAAAGAATGCTTTTAGAAGCCTCTGACAATCCCAGCTGAGCCGTGCGATCATCAGAGGCTTTTTTTTTTTT